TTTTTCCTCCACGGATAAAACGTCGCTTTGACAAGAAGCCCAGTATGTGGCAATCCATTACTGTCATTCTCATTATCTGCACTGGTGAGTTTCCTGTGACCCTGCTGTCCAGACTCTCAGTACTTTACATCACTATTTATTTATTTTTATTTTTTCACTGAAGGTTATTTGGCTGCTCACCCACCACAGACTGTCATTTTTTTTTTCTGAGAGGTTGAATAAAAGCAATGACTGCCAACACAATGTGGACAGGAGACTTAAAAAAAGACTTGAACTCACTTCTTCTTCTGTTGAGTCTGCAGCCAAGGCTCCACTGTTCTTTTTCACACTGGACCTCACACAAAGAAATGTGCTGCAAACAGCAGGTGCTACTCAATAGAACGAGGAGCTCTGTCACAGGCACAGGAGGATTTTTCCTTTTTTTATCCCATAATAAAGATGTGTTTGTGACATATCTGCAGCGGTGGAGTGGCCTGGTACAAGGCTTACTTCTCTATGCAACAGTTTATTTATTTATTCTTTATTTTCAAATGCCACCGTGTGATGTGAATTGAACAGCACTATCTCTCACTGCCAGTCCGAGATTGATACCAGATGAATGAAGTGGTGCCGGTGAGATGAAGTAGCACAGCTGGATGAGTCTCAGCACCGCAAACATGTCAAGAAGCAGGCTGCCTATTTCAAGTCAATCCTGCCTCATAAAAACAAAATAATGGCAGCCAGATATAACAGGAACTAAGCCCTGGCTTAGATTTTTTTTGACATTACTTCATCTGGAGCGCCGACTGCTCCTCCACAGACCAAATAATAATAAATCCATTTCCACAGTGATTTTTAATTCCAGCGTATGAAACGTAAGTATACGCAAGAATAAGATTTTTAAAAATCATATTAAAAAAAACACCAAATAAATATAGAACTAATTACTACACATAAACGTAAACATTGCCAACTGAACAGAAAGTGAGCGGAGCTTTTACACCAACAGCACATTTTAATTTAAAATGCTAAGAATAAATAATGGGTGCAGTTACAACAGGAACAACCCACCAACCACACAAATAATCCATTGAATTCAATGGTGACTTTAATTCCAGGTTATTTGTTCACATTATCTTCTTTTTGAGGTCTGTTTGACCAGAGGTTCATTCCACACGTGGAACATAATCTACAGACATTCCCTTTATTTTTATGGAGAGGAAGTGTAATTTTCTTATTCAGAAAAAATAAAAAAACGAGGCTCAAATTTGCATTTTGATTTATCTGTTTGTTCCCACATTTCGAACACGGAATCATTTCCTGGCCACGTGCTCGGTTTTTGTTTAGAAATGAATTAACATCAGTGTTACCAAGATCTTTACCAATCACTTCACTAATTGTCCTGCTACTTCAGTTCAACAGCACAATGCAGGCGGTGTGGAGAAAAATGATCCAGTGTTGTTTGCCTGCAGCTTTAAATACGAGAAGACACAGCAATTACACTGCTCTCACCAAATAATGACTCCTTTGTCCAGATCATCTTAAAGAAACCCATTAACTGAGCGACGCCCGAATAAGGATTTTTATAGATCCAACTCACCTGGCTTTAAAGCCTGGTTTTATTGTTTTCAACATGACTATGGATCTGCCTGTGTTGCTTTAATGCAACATGGTAATCAAGCAGTATGCTTCAGTATGTTAGCACTGCTGCTGCACCACACTGTCACCACTATATATTTAGTTAAGACCGCTTTTTTTTTTTACTATTTAACATTCAATATGTCACCCATTATATACATTTTATGGACCAACTGGCTCATCTAATTTAAAAAAAACCCAACAACCATTAAATTTTCTTTAGCTGCAGCCAAGGTTTTATTTTAGTCTATGAAAACAAACAGTAGACATTAGCACAGACTCCAGTGTCTGGAGTCGGAATGAAGGTTCAACAGTTCCCTGCACTGTGTCGTTTATCCAACACTTTCTGGTAGAACTGTGTTTTGTCGTTGTTCTCATTTGCTACATTAGCATTGTCATTTCAAATAAAGTTAGAAAATGTTTGCACTCGCAGTTAAATATCTTTGCATGAAAATAAAACTGCAGTGTTGGTCTGTATAGAACTTGTTACTTGAAAACAGTTTTCTTAACTCCATATTAATACTGATGAAAATGTAATCAGGAAATCAGAAGTATTAGCTAATATTCCAGAACTTTAGCTCATCAACGCCGCTACTGCACGGGTCACGAGTTCTTGTTTACGTCTCTGCCACCTCCTGCTCGATCTCCTGCTCCCTACAGCTTCCTTTTCAATCTTGCTGCCAATTTTCTTCCACTCCTCACCCCTGACACTCATCTCCACCCACTCCACCCTCCCTGCACTCTTGACTTCATTTTCTTTGTGCGATGTCAGTTGCTTTAAACAGTCAGGTTTTTTAAATCCACCTTTACTCCTTCACCTCTACTCCTCATATCTCCACGTTCCGCTTGTCTGACTCCTATTCACACCCATGGATTTTTTCCAGGTCTTCAGACTTTCAGTCTGTCCATCACAGCTCCTTACATCACCACTGTCTACTTCACACAGGTCCTGCACCACCCTCAAAGACTTTTCTGCCACCCCTGACATCCTTATGTAGTCAAAAGCCCGTCAATAGATTCACAAAGACTTTTAACTTTTACTTGACTTTGAACCATATTGATGCGCTCTGACTGATACACTTAACCTTTACCTAGCTTATGGCTAATAAACTTTATTGTTCTATCGTTACCACACACCTGTCCTTTGCTGTCCTATGCTTAAAATCTGCGGCATTACACATCTGCGAATGTCAGGCATTACTCACATTTATTTAAAGATAAAAAGAGATTACTACAGACACTGAAACTCATTAAGGTTTTTTTTTTAATGTCAGGCATTCTCTCAGGTTCTCTGATTGGATGAAATGTTTCTTTAAAACTACACTTTTTTTCAGTGACTTTTGACTTTTTTAACTATTGTATACACATTCTGATTGACTGAAAATGATTAGTACTTTACATAACAAATAATCTGTAGAAATTTGCACAAAATGGTAAATCTAAAATACAGCGATTATGTCATGACTAAACAAGTTAAAAATATCAGGTTCTAAGGAATAGTTTGTGTTTAGGGAGAAAAAAACATTAATCCTAAATTGCTAGCTTTAGCTATAAAATAGCAAGATAAATAAAATAGCTCAACAGCAGCCTCAGCTTACTCACATTTATTTAAAGATAAAAACAGATTACTACAAACACTGAAACTCATTAAGGTTTTTTTTTTTTAATGATTATTGGTGATTGTAAATTGTAGGTTTTCTTTCCCACTTCAAACAACCTATCAACCCAAACCATCGCAGTCCTCTGGGATTAGCAAAGTACTGGCAGATAAAGGAGGAGATTGAGTGCAGAAAGGCCCCCAAAGCACCAGTCAGCGTCAGGAGTAAAAAAAAAATCCATTATGACAAACAGGTAACCTTTCATGATTTGGAACCAGTTTGTATTTTTCCCACTCCGTGTAATTGCATTAAAGTTCATTTTACGGTCAAGAAGCTTTGTGACGACAGAATGAAGGAGGAGGCGGCGGCAGCAGCAGCAGCAGCAGCAGCAGCAGCAGCACAGAGAGCTGCAGAGCATTGATTTACATGTTCCAGGGCTGTAGGATTAGTCTCTCAACTGTTTCCTCGGGCGCAGCAGCAGAACTCAGCAAAAAACAAAACAAAAAACTTAACATCACCAACACTACATTGAACGTAGACTCCCTAGCTGTTAATTCTGGTTTGTGTTTGTTGGTTGTGTTAATAATTCATCAACTCATATTTTGCCTTTAGAACACAGTATGCCGTGAAGCAGACGTATTTCAAATGGTAAAAGAGAAAATAGAGGCCGTGCTCAGAGAGTGCACAGCAAAAAAATGTAAATCCCAACCGTCCGGGAACAGGGCTCTCTTGTTAGGGGCTGAGGTTGGGAAGTAAAGCCTGGGAAAATATCTGGTGGTGCTTCACTGGTTTCTTATTTGGTTTTGAGGGGAAAAAATAAGCCTCTTTTCAATTAATTCCTGCCATAATTTTTTTCTTATTGTCTTAAACTGTGTGTAATCAAATCGTTGAATAGAAAATATGGAAGTCTGTGATTTAATTTATATATTTTTTTCCTTTATCTTTTAACACTAAATCCCTCTAAGGGTAGAGTGGAGGGGTGGAGGCAGGAGGGTAAAGTCAGCTGGCTACACTCTGGACTGGTGCCACACATAAAGACCAAAAAAATCACACTCTGGTTAATGACAATTTAGAGTAAATCATTAACATAGTTCTTTATATTTTACACAGAAAAAATGCACAAACATAAACTACAGAAAAACTGTCAGGAATCGAACTGTTGACCTTATTGCTGTAAGGCAAGTGTACCAACCACTCTCTCCCTCTTTGTGCTCCTTGATTTTGTAAATATGTATTTTAAAATGACATTTGTGTTCTGTAATCCCCTGGGGAGCAGTGGTGCATTCAGGGGCTTTCATTTTATTGTTATTTGCCAAACGACATCACAGCCAGCCAGGTGGGATTCGAACCTACACTGTCCTGATTAAAGCCTGATCTTCCTAACACTAGGCTGCACAATTCCAAATCCTGATTGGCTGGGAAACAAACCCCAGTCACTATTGGCTGCATTAGCTGTCAATCCACGTTATGTCCGTGGTCTCTACTGCCATGTTTTGTTTTTCCACCCAGTGAATAAGGCTTGAAACAAATAAATCAACCTAGAAAAGAAAATGCCAAGTTTCTTCAAAAATATCTTGTTATTGCCTTTTTTTTTTTCTATTTTTTAATTGATAGAAGATCTGGACAAAGTTGTGAGCTGACTTTTTTTTTCTATTTTTTAATTGACAGAAGATCTGGACAAAGTTGTGAGCTGAAACTGACTGAATTCCATTTTGGTTTTCATGTACAGTCTCAGGTCAGTGAATCTTCTGACATGTCCTTGTGTTTCTCTACCTCTGCCCACAGCCGTCGCCCTGTGAATGGTGCCGCTGCGAACCAAATAACGAGGTGCACTGCGTGGTGTCGGACTGTGCCGTTCCAGAGTGCGTCAACCCCGTGTACGAGCCGGAGCAATGCTGCCCCATCTGTAAAAATGGTAAACAGTCATTTTCCCGTGGAACCCAATACCCTCGGCCCAGAAGTCATTAAATTTTCATTAAACCAATGATGGAGAGTTTATTTGTGTTATCGCCAGTTGAGGGCCGCGCCTTTGGTGACTTAGGACGTAATTGAAGTTTTATGATTTAAAATGATTACCTAGGGCCCGTTGTACACTAATGAGCTGTACTAGTTTTAATTATGAATGACACACTAAGCAGAGTAAACATTATCCCATTGAATAAAGCCAAGGTAGGAGGCAGTAATGTTTCCCCGGAGAACATTTGATCTCCCGGTGCCCCGGTGCCCCGGTGCCCTTCTCACAGACGACCAATCACCACAGTGGAACTATAGGATTCTAGTTCTTCATTGGTTCTTTACAAGGGGAGGGTTTGAGATGTCTCTTCAACCCTAACACGATCCTGAGGGACACAGGGGGCGCCATTACAACCGAACAAACCTCCACAGACATTACTGTGATGGGAAGTGACACGTTTGGAACGGAGAAGCCGATGGGCAGATACTGATTTTGAAAGCTAATCAAAAATAGCTGATCATCTGATTTACTGATGAGTCACTAATTGTCCAGTTAATGTCTGTAGTTCTAACAGACAGAGAGGCAGGCTGACGGACAGATAGTCTATTCCTTTGGCCCATAAAAGTGATCAAAGGAATGCAGCAATTAGAGAGGATTCAAAAATTAGCATTTTTGCACAACAAATGCAATTTTTTTTTCCCCTCCCTTTTATCTCATTTGCCTTCTATCTCCTTTTTCCCCCCTGAAACACACACACGCGCACACATACACATACGCGCACACACACATACTTGCACAAACACTAACAAGGCCAGTGCAGGAGCTGCGAGGGGAGAGCTAATCTAGGATGACAGGACACAGTGACACTCTTGGCATTTCAGTGGAGGGCTGCCTTTTCTAAGCTCCCCAAGGGCGTCTGGTCAGTCTCTTGCAGTCAGATAAGTCTCTATGGGGGAGGACGGCTGAGGACTATGTGGAGAGGAAGGAAGATGAAGGAAAGCTCTTTAGTTCCCTTTTGGCCTTGGGACAGAGACGGGGAGAAGAAGACATTTTCTATTATGCTCCAGTTAGACGTGCAGACAGCGGTGGACAGCCAGAGGTTGGTTCTTTACGTCACCTGTTGCAGGCGTCAATAACTATGTGCAGCTACAGTTTGGTACCACAATTAAAAAAAAAAAAAAAGCCATCATATGTTGTGCCAAACTTGACTTCCAAAACCTGGATCAGAGGGAATGGGTGAAGCTGTGGCTTTGCAAAGAGTTTGTTTCATTCAGTTGTCTCCAATAGTCTGTGATCCCTCATCGACACCAAATAAATCTGTGTGAAACGTGGATTAAAGGAAGCCACATGTTTGGGGTTGGAGTCAATTATAATATTTAAGCCTTGAGGTATGTTATTTATTTATTTATTTATTTAAGTTTATTTTGAAATTTAACAAACATTTGAATGCATTCACAGTGTTCATCACAGTGTGGTTCATGTGGATTAAAGGAAGCCACGCGTTTGGGGGTGGAGTCAATTATAATATTTAAGTCTTGAGGTATGTTATTTATTGATTTATTTAAGTTTATTTTGACATTTAACAAACGTTTTGAATGAATTCACAGTGTTCATCACAGTGTGGTTCATCTATTTATTTATTTATTTTTTTGTGATTCTCCCCCTCAAAAAATAAAGCAGAAAGAGTGAGGCAGCAGAATGAAACAGTCAGCCACAGCAGAGTGAGCGCTTATCTCCCCCAGTGATTCAGCTCTATTTTAATGCAAATGTCTCATAGTGGTGGAAATGTGAAGTCATCTCGGAAATGGGTGGTGTCTCCGCAGGACAGTTTGGGTTGAACCATAAACCATGGTGATGATTTAGTGGGAGTTCTGCGGAGGGGGAATAAATTCAGACTGACGTCTTCCGTGGACTGATAAAGTTTTCCTCGCTCTCAGACTGGAGTCATATTGGAGTCAGTCAGACCCACTTTCACAAAGTTTTTAGACAAAGACATGGTTCAGAATTGAGCGTTAAATTCATCAATAATATTATCTTTAACATTATTCATTTAATTTTTTATTTTTATTATTATTATCAGTAGAAGTAGTAGTTGTTGCACTATTGTTTTAATTATTTAAACCTAATTATATTACCAAAATGAATCACAAAACATTATTATTATATATTATTGTTTATAATAGACAAAAAAAGGAAACTGAATCACTAGACGTGTATTTTAGTCTCCTGCATATATTTATAACTCTCCATTTACAAAATAATCATAATAATCATATTTCACAATTCACAATTTTGAAGGATATATCTTATTTGTCTCAATAATAATTAATGATTAGTCAGATTAAAAATGTCCGTGTGTATATAGATAAATCTCACACCTTTGACTTGTATAAACGTGTCTGATCCGTTTGTCGGTACAACTAGTACTAGTTATGATGTAGGCCGTCGTACTTCCAGTATATATTCTCTGCTCATCCATTGCCCGTGAGGAGGACAATGTGCTGACACAGGTTTGACACAGCACAAATATTTTCCTGACTTCACACCTTGTGTTGGCCGTGAATTGATCACAGGCCCGGACAGGTCGCGGCGTGGCCGCTGAGCGGTGACAGCTACTTGAAAGTGTGTCCTTGCGGCTCCCAATCTATCTGGGCTATAAACATTCACAATTGGTTGCGGCACCAATCGCCCTCCACCCTCATCAACCTCCAATGAATTTGTCCGGTTACCGACAGCAGCTGTCCAGAGGAGGATCGATGAGATCCGACATGGCCGGGACATTCGATACGTCCTTTAGGCTCAAATCGAGGGATTTTCTTCTTTCTCATGGAACTGTGGGACTGAGCCGGGCTAAGGTGAAGGACACGGTTGGTTGGTGGTAAACAGCAGTCGTCAGCAGTATCACCAGCTGCAGTTTTCCAGCACCAGCCTGTGGCCGTGTCCTTCTCCCTCCTACTTTATATATTTGACCGCCATCACCCCACACACCACGTCGACCAACATTCACATTTACATCACTAGCATTTGGTTAGCATCTCCTAAATCAAATTCACTGGGCCACCGAGATGTCCGTGAATATGGGCCGTAAAAGCTACAGTGTCTTCGAGAGTTATGAGACATATGAGTTTTTTATGAGTCCTCGTAGAGGAGGCTTGAATCTGGCATGGGTTACAGAGCTGAGTGGTGAGAGCAATCCAAAGTCACCGTCACACCAATTGAACCACTGATTGCTTCATTTAAAAGATTAAAACAGGGGCAAATTCCTGGCACACTGTAGAGGAAAAGTCTCTCAAAGAAGACAGGATTTTTCTGGCTTTTCCAAGAGTTTCTAAAATCAACCACGGCTGAGTCTCTCTCTCTGCATCTGCCAAAACAGATCAGTTAGTTTAGAATTGTTTTAAAAAAAAGATCAGTTGAAGAGCAGTTCGTGGTTATATGTTTTAGAGATAAACCAAAGTCCAAATTAAAGTTTTTGATTTGGCTCACAGCTCAGACTGTGTGGAAGGAAACTACAAGGCCGTGCTGAGGAGTTCTGAGGTCCTTTCATACACACTGAAGTGATTAACACCATCCTCCCTTCTGCTTCTCAAAGCAGCTTTCTTTCTCTCTTCCTCTGTACTCCAGCCTCTGTCTACTGCCAAGCCAGCGCCTGGCAGGCTTCTCTGCTCGCGCTGCATTAGGATGCAAAGCGCTCGATGTCGAGGGAGAAGGGGAGACTAACAAAAGCGCTTTAGTGTTGCAAAAACAAGCCCATCGGTGCATGCCCGTGAAAAGATCTGTATGTCTGCTCTGACTCCCCAAACTCCCTGCAGCTCTCCGCATCACTCCACCACCTCACCCCCCCCCACCCTCGACAAAACTCTCTAGAGAGCCAAATCTATTTCTTGTCATTCTCATTCCTCCTTTCCTTCCCCTCTCTCCCTCTCTCTCTCTCTCTCTCTTTCTTCCCATGCGGCAGGTCCAAATTGCTTTGCTGGAACCACGATTATTCCAGCCGGAATTGAAGTAAAGGTGGACGACTGCACCATCTGTCGCTGCCACAACGGAGACTGGTGGAAGCCAGCGCAGTGCTTGCGACGGGAATGCCTCAACGGCCAGTGATTGTCGTAGAGAGACTCCACAGGGAAGGTGGAGCAGCTCAGGCAAGACCCTGCTTTCTACCGCACCCTTTTGTATGATTGACAGGGCAGGAGCACAATCCCACGTTACCCGAGACAACGGGGAGACATTCACGAGGTTCACGTAGGAATCTGGCCTGACGAGGGAAAAGGACCTTGTCCCGCGGCCGCTTCCATTCTCCTGTTCTGCTCGTCCTACATTATTTGGAAACGTTGACTCGCTCCACCCGCTGCTCCCCCACAGAACTTTTCTAAGCTCCTGGAACTCTTTCCTAAACAGTGGCAATGTTGAATTGCTCACGTTGATTTCTGTATGTATGTATGTATAATGTCAGCTGCTTGTCTGTCTGTCACAATCACGCAGATGTTGTAAAATTCCAACAGCTGGGAAAACCAACCGTAAGCACACTTAACGGCGCTTTTTTAATTTTCCTACCAGTAGCTATGGACTCTGTGCAGTACAAACATCACAAAGGCGTGTTCACAATGACACTCTCGAAAGATTGTTTACAGAACGACCATCGCACCTACACTCTTGTCGTCATCACTTTTTATCCCCATGGCAGGAAGTCGCTTTTATGACTGAGATGATGCTACTTCTAATTTTATAAACCACCACCGCCCCCCCCCAAAATAAACCTCAAGACAGTGATTTTATTGATCATCAAACCACACTCCACAGTTCTGTCTCTACACTCTGGGAGTACAGCGAGGTTCAGGTGAATGAAATAATGGATCGGGAAGACGGTGGCTCCGGATGTATGACACGAGGAGTCTAAAATCGTTTGAAAACCACGTAGGATGGAATTCTTAAACGTAACAGCCGTTTTTGTGCTACTGTTGAAGGAAAGTCAAAAAATTCTAAGAATTGAAAAATCTTACTTCATGAAAATAAATAAGCTACGTCGCCACACACGATGTTTTCATCAGAGAAAATCCTAAAATCAAATTTTAGGATTTCATTCGGAACGGGTCACTGCCTTCTTTCCCTGGTCCAAGGACTACATTTTGGGTTTCTTTCAAATATTCTTGTGACTTTAGCTACTCATTGAAAAACATTTTTCTCTTATAAATTTTTATTTTATTTTCTACCTTTATGCTCTCGTTTTGTTTTTTTAGCCAATCCCTTACATAGCAAAAACCTAGCTATTTGAGCTAATGTTAGCCATTTCTGGGCTACACTGAGGCGGTCTGCTGCTGTTTGACTAACTCATGTTGGCTATTTGAGTATTACATGCATTGGCTAACGTTTAGCTGTTTCTATGCTTAATTCTATTTGTTTATTTCTTGCCATTCTGGAAACCTTTTTGTTCATTTCTCCGCTTCTGCGCTAAACAAACAAGATATGATATATTGACACTGTACAAACCATGTGATGAATCTGCAACAAACAGACCAGGCGGTCATTTGCATAGAAATACAAAACAGAAGCAAAGGGTGAAAACAATACTGAGGATTTTAGGAAGTTTTCCCCATAAACTTTTAGTACTAAATACTTTTAAATATACTGTTTATGGTTGGAATATATATATATATTTATATATATATATACATATATATTCTTTCAACCAAGAGAGTATCCACTTTGGCAGAACTCAAATGTTGGCAACAGTGAGGTGAGGAGATTGCAGCACTCTACACAGACGTTGTGGATAATTATTATTAATTATTTTCAGTATTAACACAGGCAGACATTTACGGGAAATTTGACCAGAGAGTTGGCAAATGTTACAGAAAATGTCCAGGTTTCACTTGATGTCTGAAGGCAGCTGCAGAGGAGCGGAGGTAAAATCCCTCATTCTAAACATCTCTGGGCAGCTCGCTCCAGCTTCATTATGGTTATTGTTTTTTCTTGAAGGTCCATATCCGCCAAAAAAATATTCCCAATAACTTTACTGCTTGAACTTGTTATCAAAGCAATTAGCCAAGCAAGCCGCCTGCTTTAATTCCCTTTAATCAAGGAGTATTCTGCGATAACTCATCCAGCTGGATGCCTGGCGCCGCAGCAGCCTGCACGCTGGGTCCACTCAACATAAACCAGCAGACAGAGGCAGAGAATGTGCACATGTCTCGATGCTTTTAAGTAGTGCTCACGTGCACAGTGTCTGTGTGAGTCTAAACAACCACCCCCCCCCCCCGCCCCGCCCCCACATTCATCCGCTGTCTGTATGTTGATCTGCACCCAGTGAAGCACTTAAAGCTATAGGGATGGTGGTCTCACAAAGCCCTTCCATTATCCCACAGCCATAGCTTATCCAATCAATTTTTTAGTTCTTTCCCTTTCCTCCAATGTGGCGAGGCCATGACCAAGGCTTAGTGAATTTATTGTTTTGCTTTTTCCAGTGTGGTCCGAATGTGGTCCAGTTTAAAAAGAGACAGAAAAGAGAAGGTAGCAACCAAGATTTTTTTTTTTTGGTGATAAATACCAGCCATTAATTTGGAGGTGAATTCCAGGAAGCTCGTTCCATTCATCAAAAGAGTTTAGTCCATTCCCGGAAAACCCGTTGCCGTTAACCTTTTAGACCCGTTTTCTGGTCAGTGATGGATGTGCTGCTTAAAAGTCAGCTAGTCCAACCCTAATGAGACTAAAATGAACCTGGGATGAAGACGGATGACTGGGGAGCTTTATTACTTTTCAAACGGTACTAAAAACTCATTTTTTGGGAGATTTTCTGCCGCATAGTTTTACAGAGTAGAGGAATCATTTGGATGGATGTGGGTGGAGTCCAATCTTGGGTGTAACAGTGGCGCTCCAGTCACTGTCATCATTAAGCCGCAGTGATTTACTGTGCCTCACGGTGAAAGGACAGACCTCATCTATCTGGCCTGAGGTCTGCGGCGTCGTATAACAAAAGTGACGGCTGAGGTGCCGCGGCGCTGCAGACATTTTGAGATTATTAAAGACGCTTCCTTCATCATAATTATTTTAAATGCCAAATAATTATTTATTCTTTTCCCCAAATGTGTACAGGAGGTAATGTACTGCGTATCAACAAGGGGAAATGTGTCTACCAAGGTACAGGGCTCGGAGGTGTTGCGGCGGCGATCAGTGTCTTAGCATGGGCTAGGGTTAGGGTTAGGAGACTTTGTCCTCATGTTTGCATTTTTATATTCTCAATACAACAAACCTCTGATACCAGAGAAACTGCTACAAACTCATTACTTAATTAAAGGTGTGGTTTGTACTTCAACATTTATCAGGCAAAGGGATAAAAACAAAACAAAACAACTCAGTTAGTTCCACCTACAGTTCCTCACATCTTCCACTCATGAAACTGAGGATTACTTTACTAAATATTTGAGCTGCTCAACAGTCCCCGTCCAATCTGGTCTGACTTTACTCAGTGGCAAACACCACCACTCTGAGAACTCCATAATGTTCATCATTTTACAGGAACTGTATGGATTTGTCTCTATTTTCCGCTAATGAAGCATCTGCACCTGTGCACACGACACAAGCTCAGTCACAAACCGATGGTCGATGGTTAGCCTTCGAAATTCTTGAAACTCTGACTGTGATTTCCATCTCGGACTATCTGACTTGGGAAGACCAAGTTATTCGCAGATGCCTCTTTTATACCCGATGTCGTTTTTGTTTGACTTTTTCAGTCTTACTCTGCCTTTGTCCCAACTTGTCAGACGTGTGTTTTGGAGCTCAAATTCCATGTTAAAATGTTTTTATTTCATCATTTGTATAAGTGAACAGCCAAACTACACATTTCTGTTGTTTCTAGAGTCAAGAATATGTATCAGCATTTCTAGAAATAATGTTTGTACTTTGATTTAAAATCAAAGGCCTTTATTTAAATGGCATCTTTATAGATGAGAAATACAAGGGATACAACAGGGAACTGTACAAGTGCTTCTGTAGATTGGGTAAGAAAATACTGTAACTCTGCTTTATCAACCATGTGAAGACAGAACTGTGTGACGTGTGGTTTTCCTGGTCAGCAAATTGTAAATTCATTCACACTGAGAAATTAATTACATGTTGCAATAGCAACAATGTGAGATGGGAAAGGGTTTAGGAAAAAGAAAACCTTGGAGAAAATCGAATCAAGCAAAAATGAGACGCAGACCTGCAGCAGCAGCAGCAGCAGCAGCAGCAGCAGCATATTGGTACAAACAATAAATGATTAAGTACAGTAGCTTTAGCCCCTTCGGCTGTATTGAAAACAACTTAAATTCACGGTTAAGGACAGGCGGCGATCAGACTGGATGTAGATTAAGAGGCAGCAGAGCCCTGTGTGTTTGGCCTGAGAGAATGGATACATTTGTGGAATATAAGAGGTTGTTATGCAGCACTCATGCGCTGCCTTTCAGAGTGCCACTCCTCGGGCAAACCAGAAAATGTTCCATTTCCCCTTGCAAATCCACCAAGCTGCACAGTTTCAAGGACGAAATGAACAATAGACCACTCGATATATATTTATATTACATTTTGCTGCCAAGAAAGTGGAGTCTTTGCCTGTGAATGTGAATTCAAAACATTGTTTCAAATGACCTCGTGTGTCCTCCCACCATTCACACTGCAGGCCTGTACATGGGCGTTTTGGGTTTTTTTCTTTGTAAAGATAAACTATTCAACTCTACACGAGACACGGACTTACTGTAGCTGGAAACTATAAACTTTTCTTTCTCCTCATTCAGTTCTTTTTTTTTTTTTGTTTCTTGCAAAGACACTGTTACATGAAGCGTGCCTGAACAACATTGACTACTATCAGAGAAAATCACTGTTATTATACAATCAGTTGTGTTTCTTCACGGGGCACCAGGGGTCGCTCCATGTGGCACTTTTACGTCGTTTGTACGTCATAATTGAAAAGCTATGTTTGAAGTCATATATTAAGTTGATTGTGTTTGAAGCAATGATCACAACAGGTTCACCCACGAGGAAAAAAAAAAGGGTCCAAATTTCAAGTGTTCACGAACCCTGGTGCTCCCCACACCGTTCACATGTAAATACCTTCAAAGGTTTAATGTGTATTCTGACATTTGAGATGGAGTTAAAAAAAAAAGAAAAAAAAGAGACCGGAGATGTAATTAATGTGTATCATCCATTCAGACGAAAACTATTTTGTTAAATAGATCTAAAAATGAAGTGTGGTTCGGCAAAAGTGAGTGTTGTTTCCATTTTTTTTATCTGGTCTTGTTGTTGTTTTCTTTAGAACCAGACATTTTATCTTCCTAATAAAAGGCATAAGACGCAACAAACTTTACTGCAGACGTGGGACGCGACAAGCTGCGGCTGATCTTTAGTTTTAACCCCGATATTTCCGACAGGATTTGAGCGCAGCGTTTTGCCTGCCTTTGGTTTTCTGACAGAAAAACAAAAGCAGCGGTGGTTAATGTTGCGTTCAGAGTGATCAGCGAGTTCAAGGGCATTACTCACAGGTTCATTTCTCTGTTCTATTTCATTACTAGTCCGTCCTGGCTTCTATCTCGTCCACACCGCTAATTGCCTTCTCCCACCTCCCACTGTGGACAAGGGAAAGGGAAGCAATTTTATGCAGCACATAGCAATCAATAGCAATTAGGTGCAACCCTGACTCATCCCGTTGAATCTTGGGAGATGGCCAGTAAAAAACGTCCTATACACACACACTCGTACTGTACCAGCAGAGTTCAATTCACACACACACAAACGTGACATAAAAACGCTTTTCTTCTTGCTCACAGCAGGTGTCAGTGATGTGACAGAACAATTAATTGCATTGTTTTTCCAGATCCATATCAAACGCACATTGATTCTTTCAGGGACTCTGGAAACTTTGACTGTGACCATGGCAACCAATGGCTTATCACTTCAATTTTCCAGTCAATCTGGCACTGACTTGGCCGAACATGGTCTCCACACAGTTCTCAGGCTCACTGGTGAGAGACGGAGGAGGAAAATTCTTATCAAAAATTCAAATTTTAAAGCAAGTAAAACCTATTGAAAACGTTTGCTTTTCAATACTGAAAGAAATTACAGTGTTATGTCTCTGGGAAGTAGGAAAGAAAATGATATCAAATTCACAGATGTTTTAATCATCAACACCTGGAACAGTTTCACTGATTCTTAGTCACAAGCACTGGTTCCACGTTGTTTTGTTTTTAGTCTTTCCACTGGTCAGTTTTCATTCTGGAAACTAAGGATGAAAATTCATTCAGTTCAGTGCAGGGTTTTTATTCTCCATTTTTGTAGAAAAGAACACTTGAGCTGAAGCCTGGTAACAGGTTTCTGATTCTTCCTCCAGTTGTGTCATTAATTTCATCAGCGAAGCAGGAGAAGTGAGGGCAGGTGGAGGTTGGAAAAATGGTACATACATTATCTGAGTTTTAAAAAAGAGGATGTGAAATGTTTGCTTTTTAAATAGTTTTTGACAAACCACGTATCGTACAGTGAAGGAAAATGGAATCACTAACTACCAAAAGCCCCTCGCCCCCAAACAAGCCCCATGTCAGAAGAGACCAAAAGCCCCACGGCCCACTTGCCGCCATAAAAACCACCACCCTGACGGATGTCACAGGGTCACATGGGCCAAGCTGCCCTGCCCAGGTTTGGCACCCATTATGCCAAAGTTCAACCTCACCAGGGTGCAGAGGACGTTTACCTGTCCAGAAACCCTACAGGCAGGAGGCGCCCTTCCTCCCCTACAGGTCAACAGCTGCTATGACTTCAAGTAAGTCCAGTGACCTACTTGTACCAGAATGGATACAGCCCAGTGGGGGCTCCATGGAGACCACGCAACAGCCCAGGTACAGCCACAGGCCACCTGTCCAAGCCCAGGGGGCTGGTTTTTATTCATCATTTATGAAAAAGAAAAAAGAAATCCCAAAAACAATGCTCTCGGAATAACAACTGACCAAAGTTGCCCCTTATTTCCAAAGGCTGAACCAAGAGCCCTCCTGATAGGAACAACACTATCTGAGTAAACACAGTTTCGTAAAATAGGGTATACCTGGGTAGTACTTTGTATACTGAGGCCAACCGTCCCGTGTACCAGGTTTTTGGGTCAAACCGAACCAACAGAGACAGACATTTCACACACGCTGAGTTCAACAGACGACAAAAACATGACACAACTGAGACCAAAACACAAAGACATGATTAGTTGTTTTTTTTAATGCTGTTTAACTCAGTATGTGTGGCTCCGGCACAGGGAGGAGCTGGAAGGCAGCGACGCAGTCAATGATCCAGGTGACGGGTGCTGACCAAACCTTGCCTCTTCTGACCAGCGTGGGCTTGTGTGGACCCCGTGGGTCGTAGATGATATACTGGGTACACAGGGCCTGGTCAGTACCCGGCAGGGCGTGGTAGGCGGCAGCACTGAGCGTTTGAGTCACATCGCTATCGGGCTTGGGCTGTCGGGTCAGGATCTGACCTCCTCCTTCTCGCAGAAGCTTGGTGAGGTCGTCTTTGGTCGGTGCCTTGAACGATCCCAGGAGGAAGAAGAAACAGCCGTCGAAAAGTGGCGGGAGCTTAAAGGTTAAAAAAACAACAACTTTTAAATATTAGTAAATAGTGATTTTCTCAACCTTCGGCAAAGGTTCTGTTCCAGCGAAGAAGAAAGAAACCGTCTGTTATCATGCAACATCAAAGGACGCGGACTGTGGCAGCAGAGCGATAAACCTCTGCAGCAGCGGGACGACTTATCTACTCACACTTTTTTATGAAGTTCAATGCTGGATAATTCCACGGACACTAAATCTACGCTCTCCTGTCAAGTTTCTGTGTTAATGACTCGTATTCACGTTCCGCTGAGACAGAGATGTTTTTCTTGAGTTGTTTTAAAGCTGCTAATACAATATTCAAACAACTCCAGCCCTTCTCTGTCGTATGCTGGTTCCATGTGGAGTCATTTTTCTCTGTAAAGAAAGTTCTCTTGCAGATGTCAGCAGGTTCTTCCTTCTGCCTACTGCTCCACTGCCTTAATTTCCAACTCTACCTCACAAAGTTGTTCTTGAAACACCCAGAATTCAAGGTGGAGACGATGGGTTTCTGCTGATGCTTGTGGTTTGGATGCCAGCGCACAAAGCCAAACATTGGAAAGAGCCAAAAAAATAAAACCATCCGGTCCATTCATTTACAGCTACTGTCGTTGTTTCTTTTTCAGCATCAGACGTGGGTTTTTTTTTCCAACACCTGTGAACGGGGATCCTCTCGCTTCTTCCGACACCTGTGAACGGGGATCCTCTCGCTTTTACGGACAGAACTGTCCATGACGGTTTCAAGTGAAAAAGCATGATGGACAAGTGAAGGTCTTCAAATTAAGCTACAAATGTCAAGTAGAGTAGCTGCTCTTTGATTGGCTGCTAACATCATGTGGGACACAGCATTGGCTGGTCGCAGGGAAGAAATGTAAAAAAAGAATAATAATTCTCCAGGATAACTGAACCTTCTCCAGGTCAGTTATTTACATTTTTGTTGTCTCATTTTCATGAGTTCCAAAACTGGACTATTAGTCATTCATTTTCCAGGTTTTCCAGGATGCCTGGGGAACTTTGTAAGGCTTGAAAGTGCAGTACAAAAGGTGATAAAGTTCAAAAAGTCATTAACAGCTGAAGAGCAGAGTATAACATTGCTATATCAGTATTAGTAGTAGTAGTAGTAGTAGTAGTAGTAGTAGTAATATTAGTAGTACTTCTATGTTACACAAACAATTCCTGGTCCATGCATGGACAGAGTCTCCATGAACTCGTTTGTTGATTATTTACCAAGCTGTACTTGTTGATGCGACTGCGCTGGGGGCCTTCTCCTGCTTCATGCTCCGTTTCAGGCGTCCATTTCCCGGCCTGCAGACAAGTCTCCACCCCTGGCATCGAAAAGGAAAAATGAGTTAGAGCTAATTATGTTGATTTGGAAGAGGACGTCTGCAGGAGCCTGTGTCTGTTTTATCAGGATGAGATGGAAGATTTCAAGGACGGGTGAAGCTACAGTGTTTGAAGGAGGGGGAGAAAAAAAAAAAGCCTTAAGCATGATGGAGTTAATGATGCAACCTCCACTGGAGCTCAGGCAGAATTCAAGCATCATCTCTCTCTGCTTCTAGAAGTTATAACTGAGCCAAAGTGCAGCAGTGCAGCAGTCAGCACCACGGCTTTGTCTGAGTCGGAGGAGAATTCTTTGTTCTAAATTCTTAAACCGATCTAAAAAGACAGAAAAGGTTTTTTTCTTTTTTTTTTAACTTCTGGCAGCTGTGGAGGGAGAGACACATTTTAATGACCCTGCTCATGTCACGAAAGTTTAAAAACAAAGGCTTTTGAACACGACGCCGCCGTGTCGTTCAAACTCAAGCACAGATTTAAAACTGCTGCAAATCTGAACACATTTTGACAAGTTTTGATTTGGTGGAGGAAAAAAAAAAAAGATAAATGCCAACGACGTCAGCGAAATCTGGGCGTAAAGAACAAGTTTGGGTTTTTTTGCTGCTTTTCACCATGACAAGTAAAAAAAAAACCATCAAGTGTTTTTATACTTATCTTACAGCGTTCTATCTTCACATCGACATTTCTCCACATTCTCACAACCTTGTACTTCATTAAGTCCTCAGTTGTGTTCAACACTGTGGCTTCCAATTTCAAGATAAGGTGACGTGAACAGATTAGGCTGTGTTGTGGACGCCGGCGTGCGTGTGTGCGTGTGTGTGTGCACGAAATTCAAGAAGGCCATTGTGAAAAAGCAAATTACACACATAAACTCAGAGTCTCCAGAGGTTTGGTAGGAGTGAAATTACATTTCTTCATACCTTTAATTAAAGCATTCATTTACTGGGTCTCTGCACGAGACTTGGGCTGAAGGGGGGGTATGTTTGAAGGGGGGGGGGGCACATTCGGGTTAATCACTCCGGACGATGGTGCTTAGTGCTGAGAAGTCATTGGCATGTTTGCTAATTACCTTCATCTGGGCTCAGAGGGAAACCCATCTCAGCCCCTCCCCCCATCAGTGGATGAACTCGTCTCCTCAATTAAACAGAAGACTAACTGGAACTATTGTGTCATCACGGGATCGACCATGAGAGAAGAGTTTGATAGGAGCAGGACTCAAAGGCAAAAATAAAAAAATAAATATGTTTTTAATCACAGCCTTGTGAGAGAGTGGGACACAAAGGCAAAAAAAAAAGAAAATATGTTTTTAATCACAGCCTTGTGAATGTGAATCTGTTCTGGTTTCATCGTTCCTCCAGGAACTGAACTCCGAGAACTCGGAGCTCGGAGGCAGAACATTTGAGGACACACGCTGACCAACATTTTCTAATATTTTGTTGCCATTTTTGGACCCATGACTGGTTGACATCCGACCCTGAATCCATTTTTTACTGTTTTTTTTTTTCAGCGTCACACAGGAGCTGGAGCCAATCCCAGCAGTCACTGGGTGAGAGCAGCGTCCACCCTGGAAAGGTCACTAGTCCTTCACAGACACAAATATGGAAACAGACAAACATTCACACACAGTGAATCTGAAGGTTTGGCAGCGAAGGAGGAAACAGACGTTCAAACTGGGACAACACACAAAATATAATACTGCATATCCTCCACTACTCGTCGCAAGTATAAAGACTGGGGATTTGAACCAGCAACCAACTGATCTTGCTTTAAGGCAAGAGTGTTAACTACACTTTCACGTAAAAGCTTTTTTAATGGAGTTTATCTACATTTTTATCTCTGTTTTCTTTCTTGTTTTTGGTGCGAGACAATTCTTTGATGTGATCTGGGTCGAGGTTTCACACTGTGATTTTCATGAGGATTTGACACGTGTGAGCCACAGGCAGGTGAACAGGGCTGGCAGAGGGTGACAGTGACGGGGTACAAAGACAGGTGACAGTCACAGCTCAGCGTCCTGTGTGAGCTCCTCCTCAAACACCAGGACAGAAACAGGAAGTTAAAAACCGTGATTGTCATGCAGGAGACGAGCTGAGCTCAAACATCCAGCCTGTGGGACAGAGTATGTCCAAACCAACAAAGACATGACATCAAGTACTTCTAGTTAGGAGTACTTCACAGGAAATATTGATTTTGAGTAAATATTGACACAAATTTGCCTGTGAACGAAGCTCCGTTGATGAAAGAGATCATCAAAGCATTAATGACTGTCCTTCTAGGACCGTTTGTGAATTATCGTCATGGCTGTTACCGTCGTCTGGACTCTGATCTCTTCTCAAATCTAGGACATAACGTGCCGTTTGTGAATTATCGTCATGGCTGTTTCACAAAGTTGCTGCGGAGATTCTGATCAGATATCATTAGAGCCAATGGCTCGTTAAAATACTCACAGCTGAATCTGACAATCCAGCATCCAGACAGGAGACCCAGGAGGGCAGACAAGGTGGTGGGCATGTGTCCTGGCACCACCACATGGCTCACTGGAGGACGGAAGACACAAAGGCAAATTGAGAAACAATTCGATTATTCTTGTGCCTGCAATGTTGAATTCAAGGGCGGTGTTTCTCAACCTTGGGGTCACGGTACCAATTAGGGGTCACGTGGAATTCAAATGGGGTCAATCAAGTGTTTCTCAACCTTGGGTTCACAGTCCCAATTTGGGGTCACGTGGAATTCAAATGGGGTCACCTGAAATTTTTAGTATTGATTTTTTTATAAATCAAGTTCAAATAAAATGCTGCATATTTTCACTCTTCTCTTAAAATCCAATGAAGCTAAACCAACATTCTCACTTTTATTACTATTAGTTAAAAACTCACTCACTAATTGTGTGTAAAGTGTGTAAATAATGTAAATAAATGTTCACATGTCCCAAACAGCCCATGAAAACACAGAAAAAAGACCACAAATCAGCAGGTTTTAATAAAACCCCTCAGAGCAGGAAATATAATTATAATTTGATTAAAATTTAAACACAGCCTTAGCGGCTAATCATTCAACAAGTGAACGCAGTTGACAACGGCTAAATGAACATAATTATATCCCCGGGGCAAAGTCTTCTTATATTGTGCGCAAATGGTGGATTTGTGTGGATTAGTCACTTAAATCCATCACGTAAAAAAATGTCTTAACGTTCACGTCTCAGAAGAGAAAGTTGAGAGGAACGCGTGGAAAAACACCAGCCTTGATCACATGACACTCTTCTCTCTAAGCCATCCTGAGATTCAAGCAAAGGTTAGTCGATCGGAGCACATGTATAATATATACGAGTTAACCTTGCATAGCTATGAAGTTAAATTTGTTGCAGCACAATCAGTCAACAATTTATTATTATGACATAAATGAATCCTAAAACAGTGGATAATTGTTTTGAACGTTATGTGTTCAATTAAATAATGTACTATTTTTATATGTACTTTTTTATAAACCGTTTAGTACATTTTATAAACATGAACATACAGTATTAAACAATGATTTTTTTCTTGACTAAATTTAATTTTTTTTATATATACTTTTTAAAAAAAAATAAAACTATACTTAAAAGTATAAATTAATCCTACTTATTTAATTGGGACAAAGTTACATTTCAGTTGAAGTAAAGGACTAAAATAACAACCCTGGTGTTTTCTCATCACCGTGACATTAAGCCCCCTAATTCAAAAGGAATGATGCTAATTATTTCAGCTCTGACATTTACCCGGGCATTAAAATGCACAGGTTCTGTATCATTATGTGGTAATGGACCTCCAGACACTTGTTACCTGCCCGAGTGCCTGCTGTGGGCTTTTACAACACACAGAAGTCTGGCTGAGAAAGTAAAGCTTTTAACGTCTGGCCGTAAAAAAAAAAGACTCGTCTCAGACACGAGTCCTGAATTTGAAAGTAGAGCAAAAAATGTCAGGAAATAACATCTTACATATACTCATCAGTGGAGTCAGACTTTCAGCAGATGTTTGACCACCTAAGTCAGCTAACCAGCCCGACACACAATATAACCAGTAATTGTGCTGCTAGCCACAGTTCATTTGCAGTGTTGCTGTGAGACTGAGTCAAAAACAAGAACTCTCGCAGCCACAAACAAAGGAGTTTTTCATAGAGCTTAGAGACATTTGTGGAAGTTAGGATTTAAAAACAAAAACACCACCTGCAGCAGAAAAGGTGTCCACCCTCCTGGCTCCCAACAGCTGCCCCAGTTCATCCAGCTGAGCCTGGGCTCGCTGAGACAACGTGCTGGCCAGAAACACCAGCTCTTCATCTCTTCTCACACAGTCGCTCGTCTAAAAAAAGGACAGGAGAAAACATTTTAGAATTCTCTTCATCTATAATGCAGGAGCAGCAGCAGCATTCAGGCCTTAACACTTTGAACAAAAATAAAGACCCACCACTGAGAGGCTGGCTGAGGGGCTAAAAGATGCATTTGCAGGTTGTTTTCCTTCTGCTGCAGCTTCCTGGAAAATCTCCAGCATCTCCGGGCCGTAAGCATAATCTGCAGGATGTTTCCCGTGCAGATTACTGTGGAGAACATTTAATAGACAAAGTGTGTCAGACACACAAACACACATACACGCGCGCGTGCGCGTGCGCTGCAGACAAGGCAGTGACCAAGAGTCAGGGATGTCAATCCTGTTAAAACAAATGAACAACACCTTCTTTTTTTTTGTTGTTGTTTTTTACTTGTTATAGTGTTTTCAGGGATGTTCGATGTTACCTTTTTATCTAAATCCGATATGGCGATATTGTCAAAACAATTCATTCCCGATTCCGATATCAACCAATACCGAAGGCCTGGTAATATTGACTTATTTATCTGTACAAACCATTGTATGAGTTCTTGACACCAACACTCTGTATACAATCCCCTGATTATTAAATTAAATCAATTAAATGAGCTGCAATGCTGCCATCTAGTGACTTTCACTTTAACATACAGCCGTTTTTCCCCAAAACTATTTTTAGGGCACGTGTCACCCAGGCATTCCATTCTCAGATTTCCATTATCGGAGGAAAAACATCCCTAGTTTTTAGTTATCGATACTGTAAATAAATAATTCACTGCAAGAGGGCAAATAAAATATTGTTGTTCATACGATTTGTCCCATTATTCCACATTTTAATCCCAAATCATTTCACTCTGACTTATCATGAAAATATAAAAATGAGAAACACAACTAATTCAAAATCTGCATAGAAATTAAATGAGTCAAAGCAACGGGAGAGTCTCCCTGTCCGTCATTTCATCAGACTCAGTAAACATGGGATGTTTTTTATGACTGACCAAGCAGGACATTAAAAATCAATATTTGCCAGTCCAGAGCGCGGAGAGAAAACAATTTGACGACGTCACACCTGAGCTGCTCTGTGAAACCGTGCACCCATCTGTGTCATTGTTTGATACGAGCTCAAGCTTAACTTTCTGCTTCGATTCATTTATACTGATGGTCATTATGTCCAGAGCCACTAGGACAGAAAGACATTAGGTAAAATTAAAAAAAAACATAGTAGGGCGACCAAATGTTGGAACACATGTGGTGTGACGCTGTAACTGCGATGAACCTCTAAAAAAAGTTAAGGAGTCTTGATACAACAGAACAGCCTCATTAAACAAAGCCATGATTATAAAAAAAAAGACATTTTCTGAGTGCAGGTGGTAACGCCTCATCTGTCCACCGGGCTGTTAAACAAAGAAGAGAGTTTTTTTATTACATTTCTTGTATTTATCGGGGGGAAAAATCTTGCGAGAAAAAAAATCTTGTAAAATACCTACTAACTGCTGACACTGTTGATCTGCTGGACTAAACTACCCATGAGGCCATGGGGTCACTGAACTGCATTGGAAAAACACTAGCTGTTGAGTGCGTTACTTACAGTACGTTAAATATTGGATCAGTGCAGTTTTAGTATTTGAATGATGTACTGGTTCTGAGTACTCTACTGCACACGTGTCAAACTCAGGCCCAGGGGCCAAATCTGGCCCCCATTGTGATATATATCCCCTACAGAGATACTGTCGTAATGTGTACTAGAGTTGACCCACCAGTATATATCCCCTACATACTGGCAGGATTTGTAGTATTTGCGATGTATGCGCTGTATGTTATAGCATACAAGAAAAAAAAAAGAAGAAAAGTTTAAACGCAGGAGTAGATGAAGAGCAGAACCAAGCCCAGCGGGTCGTCTCGAAAATATTAGGCGTCAGCGGAGATAACACCTGGGGGACAATTAAAAGGTCCACTGGTCCATAAAATAATTCATTTGGATTCATACCGGCAGCAACAAACACCCACAGATATACAAACAATAACATCCCTGACACTTTCCATCATCACACACACACATACACACACACACCAAATATGGTTTATTCAGCTGCACGTGAGAAGAATGTCTGCGCAAAAGTAATAAAGCGTGGAAAATGTGCAGTTGTTAAAGTCACAAACACTCTCCCCCAGGCCAGCCTGAGCACGAGAGTGGGAGGAACGGCAGCGGCGCTCCGAGTGGATACCCACTGCAGCCGTGACTCTTATTCAACCCAGAGGAGATTTAAATGTGGATTTCAAGCCGCACAAAAACTAAAGTGTTACGTACCATTACTGGCTCACACACCATTGAAATATTTAGATTTTTTTTTTTATAACCCAGAGAAATACATTTCATGTACCATAAGAGTACAACAACCAAAGTGACTTCCTTGTGAGTTGTTGAATAAAGTAATTACCCAGAATTTTGTCATAAACCTGAAACAACACTCAACACTTCATGACCAAAAAACAGCAACAAAATAATTGAAAAAGTATAACAAAATATATAATATATTTTAGAATAGTGGGATGCAATCAAAAAATTACATTACCGCCACCTACAGGGCTGGACTGTGCGGCTGTAACAAACATGTGACCAAAGTATAATCATTACCTAAACAGGACAACAGTAGAACACAACTCCAGACCAGTGATTTATTAAGGCCGTGTTCAGTTTTGCATTTTAAAAACACACATTTCCAGAAAAGTCCATACAGTATTTAACAAAATCTGTCGTTTTTCGCAAGCAGCCAAAATGGGTTCACCTCAGAGATCGGCCTTCAGCCTCAGGGAGAAGCTCAGAGTCGATTCTTTGCTTCTCCACATTGAGACAGAGGAGGTGGTCAGGGCATATAATTAAGACCCCCTAGTGGTCTCTTTCAGAAGTTGTCTAAGGGGTGTCCATCTGAAGCCCCTGAGGCAGACCCAGGACACAACGGGGTGATTTTATTTCCCCGCTGGCCTGGGATCGCTTGGGGGTCTCCCTGGAAGAGTTGGTGAGGAACAGAGTGCAGTGGTTTGTCTGCTTAGAACGCTGTCCACGCCACTCAGGAGACGTGGACGCCTCTGAGACCAGAAATTGCAACAGACTCCTGAAAGTTTTACTCTGTATCTAATCACTTATTTGTCCAGTAGGAACTGTTACTCTCTTGGAGTTCATGTACACTGACTACTGGGCACCTCTGAAGTTGGACATGACATCTCTGTTTATTGAAGACCCAAGCGCCATCATGTGGATTGAGACACTTCTGTACACTTGTATTTGGGTCACTGTACCACCGTCTTTCCAGGGGGCACTCCTGATTCCTCCTACACTCCCTACTCAGTCAATCGTTCACTCCATATAAACCGTCAGTGTGACTTCTTCTGAGTTATTAAGTTGTCATTAATTGCAGCCTGGCAGTGGACTAGTGAACTGTTGGGGGGGGGGGGTATCCCGCCTTCTTTAACGCAGACTTAGAAGATGAAATATTGGGAGAATGTCCACCCACGAAGAGAAAAGTCGTCCCCTGAAACTAGCCTGAGAGAAATTCCGACCTAGAATCCTAAAACTTTTAGGAATAAAGAATTCAGCAGTGATTTGCACCGACACATTGATGGTCCCACCGCCCCAGCTCTTGTCCACATATATTTAGACCCCTGCAGTAGGGACCTACACACACACACACACACACACACTGGAGGAAGTTAATTCAAAGTTTGAACCAGGCGGTAAATCGCTGAACATCTGACACAGGTTTGAACTGCATCAGCACAGCAGTGAGTCTTTGGACAGAGCTCCAAGACTAATGATGGGAAAATGTGGCAGAGAAACTGATGAGGCGGAGGGCGAGGCCTGAACTCATTTCTAATCACTGAGCTCGTTTATACCTCTTTCATCCTAAAACATCCATTCTCAATGTATCCTAACGGTTAAATAAGCCGTGCGGAAGTCATTTTGTGTCAAAGCTGCGGTCCGTCGCTCAACCGTGGTCCCTTTTATACCGTATGAAGGCAGTTTCACCGTATCATATACTGTGAAAATCATAGAACAGAAAGTCTTCAAAGCCACGCAGCGTTTTGAGAGCGAGGCAGGAAGAGAAGGTTTAAACAGTAACGTATGAAATGAAGAAAACATTACGTTCACTCGCTGCACCGAAAACAACAGTAGCGTTAAATGCACATTATCTCCCAGATGCCCCGTGGAGTTGTTTTGGTTTAAACAGACAAAAGTCAGCGTTTCTCTTTGAACCACACGACTGTAGACACATTCTGGGTTTTTTTCCGTTTTGTTCTCCTTCTCTTTGAACCACACGACTGTAGATTCTGGGTTTTTTTCCGTTTTGTTCTCGTGTTTCATCATCCACACAGATCTAATTATCTACTGCATGAGTCAAATTAAATAAAACGACAACTGCTTTTAGAAACTTGGCAGAAACTTTGGTACTTTACTTACTTTATTTACTTTGTTTTTTTAAAAGAAGACTTACAACAGTGGTCTCTAACATTGCTGGTCGTCTGGGACCGACCCATACTGTGGTTCCACACTGATCTATAATTATTGAAAATCAGATCAGTAAAAAAAAAAAATTGCTCTCATTGAACTGGGAGTTTTCACTAATATATGATTAAAAATATTTTAAAAATACACAGATAAACATAAATTAATTTATTTTTTCTTCTTTTGTTCAGTTCATGTTTACATCTATTCATTCAGCTGTCAGCCAGGGTCAAACACTGAGTGATTAATTAATTACGAAGCCTCTAATTAATGAAGATTCATCACTTGGATCTCTCTCTACGATATATCAAATGTTCAAAAATCAAAAGATTTTATTGTATTTCCAGGTCGAGTCCCAAGTCTGGTCTGAAATTGTGTTTTGAAATACTGGTTACAGCCCGTGTTGGACGGCACAGAGTTCCATCAACGGAATCAAGGAAAGGGTCGTCTTTTCAACTGGAAGTCGACACAAACAAAATCATCTGCAAAAGCTGCATTTCAATTCCCCCGGACCACGTGCCAATCATTCCATTAGGGATTGTGCCGCCTCTTCTGCTGTGTTTGTGTGGGTGGAGGTTTGAAAAGAGGGAGCCTGAGGCAAGGATTGCATTTATCTTACAGGGGTCTGTCAAACCGACCCAATCACTGCCAACTTTTTCTGCCCTTTGGACAAGTAATAAAGATTTTAAAAAAACAAGAAAAAAGAAGAAGAGATATTCCACAACCAGAGCCAAAGCAAAGAAGGGGAAAAACAGTGACAGTAATGAACATTTGCCACTCTAACAATCATTTATCCTTCAGCTGACGAAGGATAAATGCCAACAGACACAGCACTGACCGACCGAGACACTGACCCTGATCAACTCTCCTATTGATCCCACTGATAAACCAGCATTTTCTCTCTCATTACAGACATTGTGCTTCACATCTTCTCTGCCTCGGCCGCACAGAAACGCTGACCCAGCAGCGACTGTTCTCCCAGCAAATAATCAGCATCAATCGACTTTGTGAAATCCATGCACCGATGTACTGCACTAACACACGCCCTGCTCCTAATTATAAAGGACCCGACGTCTGGTACAATGAGACGCAAACAGGAATGCAATGATTTATTGACTAGGTGAAAAGGCACAGACCAGAAGCCTCTGTGTAACACTGTGGATTAATAACAACCCTGCAATATATACAGTAAATATAAACAAAACCACAGCTACAGCCTTCGTGAGCCCACGGATTCAAGATTGTGGACAATTAGAACATGGCTGAAAAACACAAATCAAATCCAGGCAAATTTAGAACAAATCCAAAGTAAATCCAACCTTGACTTCTTCAGATACATGTTAGACGTCCTGGGACGCATCAAGATGTAGTAGGATGTGATGGAGATGTGGGTTATTGAAAAAACACACTGATCGTTTTTTTTTTGCCCAATATGAAACGACCCACGGCCCAAGTCTGATCCAGGAGCCAGCAGTTTGGAACCTCTGACATTTATACAGCCATTTTAATACCAGAGATTGTTCATATTTTTAAAATGGGGAGAAACTCAAAGTGGTCTGAGGTCCATTCAAATATAAACACTGTCTGGATGTCAGTCATGACTGATGAGATTTGTTTTCAGTAATTAAAAAAAAAACAAAAAAAAAACCTTGATGTCAATGACAGGCAGACAGACATTTATTATGTGTATAAAAAAATTCCAGCTTTCCTGGGAGAGAAGATGTTTTATATTGGAGATGACACTTTTGGCTCCTGGTTCTGGCTCGGCCCTAATTCACAAAGTCATACTTTATGAAGTCAGGATTCAACTTTGTCTTCTTTTATTTTTAAATATTTCTCCATAACTTTTTATACAGGCTACTGGCCAATTAAGTGTCTTCTTCTTCTGTTTATTGGAGCTAGTTATATAGCTGACTCCTGCCACTAGGTGGTGGCTGTGTGGCAACCAAGCGTCTTAAATTAATTACACGTGCGGTCAGTCAGACATCAAGGCCCACATGTTCATCATGTTCATCATCTTGGTGGCGCTGGTGGCCAAATGGTGGACCACAACCCCATGGTTAAGAATCACTGTTTTAGACATACTGTGTGACTTCAATGAGAGGAGGCTTTGAAGCATTAAGAAAATTCAATTTTTGGCTTCAAGTTTAAAGATTAAAAGCACATTTCTTTAACAAAATACATAATTTAGAGAATCAAAATGTAGGACTAGCTTTTTTTTTTTACTAAGTGTTAAATAAACATGAAGCAGCTTCTGGCTATACCTGCTGTAGTTATTACTTAAAAAAAAGTTTCAGTGGTGCCATTCAGTTTTATTAAGTCCGTCTTATCTTCAGTTCAAGTTACGACCAGCCTGACCTTTCAGAGGACAAATGAAAATCTGTCTGAATGAAAAGATCAAATCAAACTGCAGGAGCCCAGAGGGATTCATCGGGTTTTTAACACCCGCTCCAAACTGCAGCATATTGAGTTCTGCAGCTTTTTAATGATTAAAATTCTATATAAAACAGGGATTAGGGATTTTTTTTCCCCCATGCGTCTGAGTTTCTGCCTTTCCCCAAATTGTTAATTTTTTTCCCCCATCAGGTCATTACTTAAAGATTTCTAAGCCATTAATCACACGCTTGGCACAAAAGCCTTTTTCCCAGAATGCCTCAGATGTCATGTACAGGTCTGACCTTGAGGGTGCGATTTTCACTTTGTACATTTCCCCGAGCAAAACAATTAAATGTTGGCTATAATAGAGAAATGCTCAGAGGGGGGGGACTTACAGGACGCTCTGGGACGCTCCGAGTCGCAGCAGCAGTTTGACGACAGCAGAATGACCGTTCATCACCGCGTCGTGCAGCGGAGAGTCGTTCTTATAGCCAGGGGTGTTGAGCAGCGCTCCCTTTGACGCCAGAGCCTCCACTACAGCCAGGTGACCCAGGTTACAGGCTTCATGCTACAAGAACAAAACTGAGTTCAGGTCCAGGAACACCTTAATGATCCCCAGAGGAAGGTTTCTTGTTACTGTTTTTTTTTTTTTAATGTTTCTTAAGTTTAATTCTTGTTAAACTGCATTTTAAAATAAATCTGAAAAGGTGTTTACACATTTAAAAAACACTGAAATTAAAATTCCTGACAGCACAGTCACAACTTACTCTAACTGTTCAAATGGACGCTGTCTAAATGTTATCCACTTTAATCTATTGAAAGTTTTTAAATTGATCGTACCAGAGGAGTCCAGCCGGCGTTGTCCTTCAGGTTGGGGTCAGCGCCCTGGTCCAGCAGCTCTTTGACGGCGTTTACATCTCCCTGAAGCGCACGAGGACAACAACAGATCTCAGGTCAGTGTTGCAGACTTGTAAACACAACCCTACAAATGCAGCAGCTGATCCCAGAGCACAGCAGCAGAGTCGCCGTGTTTATCAATCACACGTCGCAGTGGCCGATTGATTAACTTTGTGAGGAATCTGGGAGGGGATTAGGGCGATGTTTACGAGGGATTACGGTAAAGCGGTTTATTCTCTACACGGCAGAACGTGACCTTCATCTATATATATATATATTTAAATATATAAATATAAATATAAATATATATATATCTTGGACACAAAATAATACAATTATTCATGAACGGGAAAACTAATACAACAGATAAAAGTTTGTAAAACTGAAAAGATGTTTGAAGACCCCCTCTCTCTCCTCCCCCTACACACAGTACCTTAATAGCAGCTAGATGCAGCGGGGTCTCTCCCTTGTGGTTCCTCTTCATAACCGCGGGGCTGCCTGTGCTTGGTCGTCCATGTGGTGAGAGGAGGGTTCTGTCGACTGAGGGGCTCTGTCCAGGCTCCTCTCTGACCGTTGCATCACTCCTCCCAAAGTTCCCGGGGCTGGCCAGAACTCGGGGTGATATCTGATGTAATGATTTTCTGCTCCGGCCTGATGAGACCTTGGGTCGTTTTGGTGTGGTCTCCAGGTTTCCAGAACGATCCACTGGCGAGCTCATCTCAGATGAACTCTTTGAAGGAGACGCACCGCGTTGTTTATCTGGCCCAGTGTTTGGCTGCAGGTCGTCCACAGAGTGTGTGTTTTGCTGGAGGACGCTGGCCAACATGGCTGGTGGTTGGTAATTTGGTTCTCCATCTCCTGAGGGGCTCTCCATCGTGGTGCTCCTGCCAGGGCTGAGGTCATTAGCGCTCTCCTGTGGCACTTCAGACTGAAGCTCGTCAGCGGTAACAGCAGGGCTCAGGAATGAAACCCTTTTACTCTTTCTCTTTGCCCTTTCAGCACAGCTCTGCTCCGGTCCCTTCAAGGCTTCCACCTCTTTGGAGAGCCCCCATTGCTTATTTATGGCCTCCAGCCTCTGCTTCTTTATCCTTTGCTTGGTCTGTCTCCATGCGGCCCCAGTTGTTCGCTGCACCATTGACTTCCTGCTGGCTGCAGTTTTCTTAGTTGACCTCTTTTTCCCTGTTCTGTTGCCACCGTTGCATCCTTGAGAAGAAGAACCTGAGTCTTGTGAGGACGAGGTGAAATTGAAAATTGACAGGTCCTGTTGCTGAGCTGTAATGGTTTCTGACTGAGCTGCCAGAGACGTGTCGACCGGCAAGGTGACCTCCGATAGCTTCTCCACTGCACAGCGTACTTTGTGGCTGCGAGGACTGAACCAGATTTTAAAGTTCTTCTTGTTTAAGACGTGGTTTTCAGGTTCAGAAGGGGCTTCGGCCGCAGAGGAGTCTGAAATTATTTTTTTAAAGAAATTATATTTAATTTTTCACAAAATATCTAGAATAAATAAACATCCCGTTATTTATGTAAATACTTCTCACCCATGGGTCAACATAATGGTCTTACAAAGATCATCATTTTTTAATAAAAAAAAATATTAACAGTTAGCTTATCGGTATCATCCATTAGGGGGCAGAGAAAATCATATCATAAATACAAAGTTGATCAACTTAATCACAGTTTTGGTTCAGAGATGAGATCATGGAAACTAAACTACGACCCTGGTTGAATGCACTGCAATTACTGTCATTACCAAGATAATAAATAGGCTAAAAAAAAAAAAATCACAGGAACAAACCCACTAAAACTGACATCCAGACATTAGACTGTAGGAAACTGATAGGAGGAGGGGTGAGCAGAGGACCATCGGGGGCAGATAATGAATAAGACGTGTGGATTTGTGGAGATTAATCTTAATTACGCTTCCAAGCTGCTGTATAACAGCCACTATCTACCTGGCTGCTCGGTGGGATTGAGCAGGGACTCCAAGCCACAGAAGAGCTGTATAATGCTGCTCAGCTGTCTGTTGATTTGGATGTCCTTCACCCACGCAGGGCTACGACACACCACGCAGCCATCACCAGCCCGGGGACCGGCGCAGGACCTGAGCAATTAACATTATTTGGATTAGTCATTCACTTCACAGCTCAGGTGAGAAAAAACATGTGCCTCTTGATTAACTTTGTGAGCTCGTTCAGTCATAAAGAGAGGGCATGAATGAAACGTCCTCATTCAGACCTCATCATGTATGGACTGCAAGGACAACATGCAGGTGAAACATGTGGAAATGTGTGAACGTCTATGAACTTTAATATCAAAATGTTGTTCAAATGGATTGTTTTAAAATTAAAATTCATATCATTATTATTATCAATACTATGTATATTTTTAATAATAGTGTTCAAGTGCGGTCACATTACCTGCACAGCACATGTTCACACAAACCTAGACACACTGGATCCTGCATGACATTTGAGCTGAGGAAAGAAACAAATGGACAACACACTCAAAACGTGCAAAAATCCAACAATACTCCAACACAATACTTCCACCTTAGGAGTGTGTACTTCAAAAGAAATAACAGGTATTTGTAACGACACAAGAATCGATTGGCATTTGGCATCTGGACTAATGAGTTAACAACTAAACAAACCAGATAGTCCTGTATGCTGTATGCTATACTTATGAAGGTTTGTCATGCAGTAGGTGTGTTAGACCCAGAGATCATAATAAAACCCGCCTGATTAAATGACAGGTTTAATGCAAAACACACATTACTGCAAATACATTTCATCAAAATCAATAATGAAGAAGGAATCCTGTGAGATATTACAGTCACTGCAGAGACAGAGGGAGAGAGAGGGAGCAAAGAAGTCAACCACACTGGCTGTGTGAATCCCAAGCTGCTGCATTACAGACCCATTTGGCAAATGCATTAGATACTAAAAAACGAGGGGATCGATCAGAAGGCCAGACACTGTAGAGGTACATTTGACTTAACTTTCCCTCTAAATCAACTAAAATGTGAAAGAGAACATCGGATTGTTCACAGTTCGTAACATTGGAATTTTTTTTCAATTATTAGAGTTTTAAATAAAGTGCATTTGTCCCCGGTTTATCGAGTTATTTTGTCTAACGCATGAGACTAATCGACACAGAAAAATAAGCCACAGCATGTTTTAATGATCAACTAACAGTTTGTGTAACGATGTCTATGACGTCAAAAAAAACAGCCTGCTAAAATCAATAAACATATACAGACAACATACCATTTTGAGCAAAGTAGTAATTGACGGAACTTTTCTGCAGCTTCTCTCGTGTTTTTCCAGTCGTTCGTCTGTGCGGTTTCGTCGTCGTTATTATTATTATCATCTGCGGCTGACATTGTTTCTCTTATTTGTTTTCTTCTTGTTTTGCCTTCAACCGTACATGGCACACGAATCACTTCCTTGTTACTTGCAACTCCCGCCAAACACAAGGAAGTCGTAGGTCATAGTGGTGGCGTCATATCCGCCAAGTTTGTCGACGCAACGTGAACCTCACGTAGAAATGCTTTGATATTTTTATATACAGGGTGTTATGTTATATTATATTATAAATTATTTAACTGCTGTATGTCATTTCTGTTGTTATGAATTAGTTTTTCATGGATTTTTTTTTTTTTACTTGGAATCAGGCCTTTTGGGTCACTGTGTTTGGGGCCAAATCATAGAGTTTAGATTGACTGAGGGCTGCCATATGTTGTGTTTTAAAACTGTGTAAAATTGAGCAAAAAAAAAATTTTAATAAAAAATGGGGGAAAGATAGACTTTAAATCTAGCCAAATTTAGTGTATGCTTATAATTTATAATTCGTGATATTACTAATATTTTGATCACATCACAAAAAAAATACACACAGAAAGGAGAAACTGCATTTAAAAGTAACTTTATTGGAATTATAAAAAAACAGGTATCACCTAGGCCACAGGCCCACAAGCAGGTATTCAGAGTTAACTCTAAAAGTCAGATTATAAGTGTATATGTGTGGAAGAAGAAAAATCAAAATAAAAGGACGGCATGAGAGGAGTTCATCACGAAGGCAAAATCATTTGCTGCTCAGAATCATAACAAAATAAGTGCATGATTGCATTAAGTGGATACAAAATAATCAAAACATCTTTGAATCACAATTAGTTAACTGCATGGTATTGTTTTTGATTTTGCTCTTGTGTAATATATAATATACAGTGTGAAAATACCAGATATGTGCTTTTCAATTCTGTGAAACAATTGCACTACAATTAGAACTTAGAAGGGAGGAGATATATTTTTCCCATTAGTTCATTTCTAAATTAGTTCAGGTGTTGGGGAGAAAAAACAATCTATTGGTAAAATGGTTAAAAGACTAATTTCTCATGAGCAGTCAATGTGTTTTTATTATCAATTAATTGTTCTAGTGAACCAAATATTTTAACTTCATAACAACTTACATGACCTGTGCTGGGAGCTGAGGCCTTATTCTTTAGGTTTGACAAGATCTTTTTGGTGATAAAAGTGCTGTTCATAAATAGAATTTTATAAAAAAATAGGGTAAACAAATTAGGTGTCTGACCTTCAAGATTCAGGTTGTTTTTTTTTTTTCATTTTGTTCTTTTTTTTGTTCTTATCTGTGCAAATATAGAGGTTATGCTGCGTCTCGTGACGAGTCTAATTTGATATGGTTTCCTAAAATGAAAATATCAGTTTCTCTTCCATAGTCGATGGAAAAGTGAGTCACAGGATGTCAGTCATCTTTAAGTGTCTGATGAATGAATGGAGTCAAAGTCAACCAGCTCGTCCTCAATAGGTATGCTGTCCATACCAACCTTCCCCATGGCAAAGTTGATAAAGACCTGCGAAGAAACAGGAACATTGTTACGGCGCCATTTTTGGTTTTTCTTCCACAATGACATACATGTTTTTGTAGCTGTTCTTTTTTTGCACTCCAAAACCCTTCTCTCTGTCCTATCTCTGCTGCTTCCCACTCCCTCAGCCCCTTCCCCCCCAAAAGGCAGAGCGTTTGAAGAACACCAGCACTGGCTGCATATAAAGCTCATGTATTCTCTGCCAAATTCTAATATTCCATTTATTTCCCCTCAGGCAAACCCCCTGACAGTCTCCCTCTGACTCTATAAAAAAAAATTCTTTGCTGTTTCTTTCACTCTCACTTCACTTTCTTCTGTCCCCGTCTTCACTCCCATCTCTAACCCCCCCACCCCCAACCTCTACAAAACCTTGCACTGGTTCTTCTTCTCTACTTGTTTGTGTCCAATGTCCTTTTCTCACCTCATCCAGAGTGGTCTGGCTCACAGAGAAGTGTTTGATCTGCAGAGCATCCTTGTTTGACTCCAGCTGGTCGAAGATGTCAGCCACCCCTCCTGGAGCCAGCGGCACGTGGTACTCCAACATGGTGGCGTGTCGGTCCTGCGTGTAGAGAAGAGAGTGAGAAGATGAAGATTAAACTCTGCCTGGGTGGAAAGACGATTCGACTGATGGCAAACACATGTTAAACCACCGCAACCAGCAGGGCATTATGCAAAGCAATGATGTAATATAATGAAAAATATTATTGCCTTCAGTCTGCGGTCTACAACGTTCAGCTCCAGAAGAGTTACTTTTTTGTATAATTTTTTACCACCAAATAAAATTCACAGAGAGCTACAAAAAACATTACAGTTATTTAAATAAAGTGAATGCTGCAATATACGCAATTTTAAGTATTAAATATTGTAATTATGATACTACATAATAGAATACCACAAAAATTGCACAACAATCTCCACTTAAAGAGAACATGGACATTATGTTGTTTTGTTGTTTAAAAGCAAAACAGTCATTGATAAGTCAGTGTGTGCAGACAATACCAGCTGATTAGTTACATGAGCTGAGTGTTTTGGGTTTTTTTTAAAGGGAAAAAACAGCCACGAATTTGGTTCCATTCCATTCACAAACATTAAATAAAATCTCAGAGAGAACCAAAGACAAAAAATACAGTTGTAATATATCTCTATTTCCCACACTTGGGGCATTCTTTTCATTTATTTACTGATAACTCGACATTATTTGGGAAGTATATTCCAGTTTATTGTCCTAAGTTATTGCTTCCCCTGATTCTACAGCTACAAAGATCGACTAATAATAACATTTTACAAGAACTGTAGTGCAGCAATCCACTACACCGTATACTTCAGTCTTCTAAAGGATCACCTTGAGGTAAGTGCTGGGGAATCTGCACTGCATGAAGCCAGTGATTGCCTCTGCATCACAGGAGGCCTCGGCCAAGTACATCTTCACAGTGAATCCGCTGCCAAACCTGGACAAATGAGTTTTCCGAAGGAAAACAAAATAAAAAAAACAAACAAACAACATTTTATTTATATATAGCATGAAAACAGAGTGATGCTGAAGGATGCTGTGATGCTGGAGGACGGGAAAGAAGAGCACTTTAAAATTCGCTTGCACAAAGGTTCAGGGGGAAGCCGACTGCAGAAGATCACAAAGGTCACGAGAGCGATAATGACTGGAGTGGAGGATGAGCAGGGGTCACTAACCTGTTCTTAATGTGCTGCAGAGACCCAAGGCATCGGAACTGACCTTTCACCATGATGGCAAGGCGGCTGCACAGTGCCTCACACTCCTCCATACTGAGAGACAGAGACAAGGAGAGGGATACAAGGTTATACCAAAGCAAATGAGCAAGTAGCACACACAAAACAATACACACACATCATTGTTATCTGCACAACAAGTAAAGCCAACATTTCTTTCTTTTTTTTTACCAAATGAACACATACAACACTTCTCTAACCTGTGAGAGGTGAGAACCACGGCACATTTCCCCTTCACTTCTTCAGAGATGATCTTCCACAGGTGACGCTTCGTGCGTGGGTCCATGCCAGAGCTGGGCTCATCCTGTGCAGAGAGGAGAGGTACGAATAAAAGGGCAGTTGGGTGAGCGAAAGTACGAGAAGAAGGTGGAATCCAAGTCAGAGAGATCAAGGGACAAGGAGTTCACAGAAAACAGTGGAGTGTAGCCGATAGTGTGCAGCACATACAGAGAAGGGCAAGCCAAGGGCAGAGGGAACATGAAAGAAGAAAAGCCAATACACAGCTGAATAAGAGAGCAGGAGAAAGGCCGCCTGTCGTAACAAATATGGGCTGATGACTGCGAGAAGGGAAGACAAGAGGCGAGAGAAACTTGTACGGAAAAAAACGAGATATTACAAAGTAAACAAAGGGAGGAATAAGAAGGAATTATGTATGGATGGATTTTTCACAATGTAAGATGGGAATGGAAATAGAGCTTCTGATAGAAATGTGAGGCAGGATGAAGTAAAAATCTTTCTGAGGTTTTCGGGTTTTTTTTTAATGAATCCATTCTCTGTGAGTAGAAGTCGAAAGCTGTCAAAGTTAATAGAAATGATTGCCTAAGCAGATAATAAAAAATTTAACAGAATGAAGCACTCAGGTCATCCACTGTGCTCTAACACACGTTGTCATTTACACACACTGCAGGAAAAGGTTTTTGCTTCGTTTTAAAATATGGTCTCGACGCCCGGCATTTGTTTTTGGAAGCATTCGCATATTTTTCTTGACATTTTATAATAGAAATAATAATAAATCATTTGGATTAATCACACATAAGAACAGGCTTAAAACACATAACACATAGGGGTTTTTTTTGCTAATCACACATAAGAACAGGCATAAAACACATGGTTGTGGTTTGGTCATGGTACAGGTTTAGGAATGTCGATTTATCACAGTTAATCATGAATAATCAGATTAATCCAAACTACCCTATGATTGGAGAGTCTTAAAAAATATACATTTATTACCTAAGGAAAGCTACAGGCGTAGCCTGACTGAACACATTCTCTTGTAACAGTTGATAAAGCACAGGAGGAGAATGCATTTATTTGCCGTGCTACGTGTGACTCCAATAAGAGTAATGAAAAAACCCGGGTAGCCTGTTAGTAATGGCCCATTTTCAGCTGACATACCAGCTGTTAGCCAGTTACTTAGCAACATGCAATTAATCTAATAGCTTGAGTGTTTGGCTTGACTGTTTGGAACAGCCTGTCTTTTGGAGGTACAGCTTGTCCTCTGTGTTTGCAGTGTTACTGTGTTTGACAGGGACGAGGACGGCGTTTGATTTTGGAGTACTTCTCAGCGTATGTTAGCATATGCCACGTACACATAGGCGAGTAACATCAGTTACAGCTAGTCTGTTACTCGACTGAGTCTTCCTTTTTGGTCGTATTTTATTTGTGTTCTTCATGAAAGTTCTATTATTATAGCGTTCTATTTTGTAGTGTAAACAGTGCCCTCCAATGGCCACAGGTCATCATCAAGAGTAAAACTAAAAAAACTAAAAAAAAAAACTTTAAAAAAAAAGGTGCGACTCATACTTTGGAAATACGGTAATTGTACTGTAAAGTTTCCATTAAAGTTTAGTTTTAAACTGAATCAAGTTAAACGTAACACAGTTCAACGACAGAAAAGAAATTATAGAATTCGCTGAACTTCGTAAAACTAAAAAAAACTTAAAAAAAGAAATTATAGAATTCGCTGAACTTTTCCCCAGTTCCATTTAAGTTGGCCCATCACAATACTATCTTGTTCTGTAGAGCGAACACACTGACTGATACTTTTTAGAGAGTAAACCTTCCTAGAACATTATTTTTAATACGCCTTGTCCTCTTTGACACTTTAATGAGAAGAAGAAATGGCAGCAGTAACAGGAGCAGGTGTGTCCTCACCAGGAGCAGGATTTGTGGGTGTCCAATAAGAGACAGCGCTGTGGAAAGCTTCCTGCGGGTTCCACAGCTGTAACTGTCAGTAATGATGTGTCTGTGGTAGTTGAGCTCCAGTCGTTTCAAGAGGTAGTTCACCACCTTCAAGGAAGACATGGGGATGACATGGATTATACATAAGGAAGGAAAGAAAAGTCACACATCGTAGCTACTCTGATGATGTTATACACTTTTGGAATGACAGACTATAAACTGAAAAATAAAAAAAAACACCAAAATCTGTCATCAAACACATGGACATTGGAAAGAATTCAGAGATCACAGACATGACCAGAAAATAAGGTAAAAAAATCAAATGTGTTATGGTGAAGGAAAAAGTGTTTGCCTTTCCTCTTAACAAAGAGGTCTCTTTCTGGAGAGAAGCCAACCTCCACCAGGGCTAAGAACCAATAATCAATGTCGTGGACGTGCATTGGATTTTAATGGCATCTCTCTGTGTCAGTAAGGGTTATAGGGTTGCTACACACGGCCACGTGAGCAAACAGGAGTATGAGCCTTTAAGTTCTTGGAGCAACGTTCTGTTCAAACGTTTTCACAAACGTTGAGGCTGAGATCGACGACCAATCAAGTCACACCAGAGCTTCACATGGGGCTGATTATCCATTTAATCCATCAGCTCAGATTGTTCTCTCTGGAGGACAATTTACTCAAGTTTTCGGACCCTGGTGTGTTCACAGACCCTGCCACCCACCCACCCGCCTTGGTGTCTATTTAATAGCCATGTTCACTCCTGCTGCTCCCTCTGCTGCCTCCTCTATGCAGTGGAGTGACACAGAGGTGTATGTCTGTCTCAGTCCTATGAATATTTCATGTTGTTTGTACAACAATAATAACTTTCCTTGGCACCTTTATCTAAACTCCATCCCTGTCCTGAGGCGGTTACTTCATAAAGCAGCCAGTGACATGGCCGTGATTTGTTGTCGTCCAGTTTATCTTCTGCGTTGAACTCCATATAAGGAGTGAATGTGAAAACCCTTAATGGCCCATAACCATTTCAGTCCCCTTTTAACACCGCGCTCACCTATTAATCACATGAAATATTGGGAGTGTGTAAATATCACTTCATTTTCCAGCAGCCTGAGGTGACTTGTCATCCGTAAGCTGTTGCTTTTCCCATCAGATGCCAGGTTTGGAAACAAGATCAATGAAGCGGGGCCGGTGCGGTAGACAGTTTAGTTCACTGTGATTCTCTGCTTTCCCTCTGTGGGAGGATTTGTCTTTACAATAATCATTTCGTTGACATAATTCCAGCTGCTTTGATCTGTGTTATCAGGACATTGTTTTGTTCTGATCCTGACGTTTTTAACCAAAAACTGTAACAGCAGATTTATCTTAAACCAAGTACTGGAAAGCAGAGAATAAGTCAAAGTTTTTTGAAGCTGAAATGGTCCGTTGTCTATCACCTTTGATATAACAGCTCGTTAAAACCTGACAAAACCACGTCAATACCAAATGACCCCATTAAGGCTTGTCTTATTACCCACAGCTCGGGGACCGTCAGTGAGAGAATACATAAGAGAGACTCTATAAATAACGTCATCTGTGTGAATTTGGAACAACAACGATGCTGCATTGTTGTCTTTTCCCTGACCACAGGCGAGAAGCCTTAACAACGGCAACAATAAAGATAAGAAAGAGAAGGACTCGTCTCTTCGCCTCATTGTGCGTGTGTATTTGTGTGTGTGTTGTTGCTAATGAGAGTGCACAATGCTGTTCACGACATGACTGTGGCTGTCAGAGACAATCGATATGTTTGTGCTCCTGCACCTCGAGGTATAAAAAGAGAGAAGACAGCCATGTTTGCTGCAAAGTTTCAAATCAAAGGCTGTTGTTTCTTTTGTAACAATTCAGAATAGAGAAATCAGAAGTCCCATCATCTTCTGATTGGCTGCCGTACTAATTGGCCTTGTCACGCTAGCAACAGGAGCAGCAACAACACACAAGCGCATTGGGTAATCAGCGCCGAAACAAGATTGATTAGTTCTTAGAAAGATAAATGGGAGGAATCAGGCTAAAGTGACACGTTAAATGAGATCCCCTCATCATCAAAGTATGGTTTAAATGTAAATTTGTCTCCACTGAAGCGCAGAGGATCGACCGTAATTCAGAAGTTTGAATTGCACCGGCTGACAACAAAAGCTTTTCCATCTCGCCCCAGATAGTGGAGCCTTCAGCACACATCAGTCAACACTTCACACCAGCTGATTCCATATGCATGGAGGCACCGACAGTAGCTGGTCCTGCAGTGGGACTGTGTCTTTTGAATTTTTATCTGATTCCGTGTCATTTCGTGCGTGTTGCTGTCAACCGCGGCTGACGCTTTGAGTGGCAGCACTTTCTCACCCCGTGTATCTCCCTCTTTGAGATGCCTCGAATGCGAGCATAGAAATACAAGTGCTCCTCCCCCGTGAGCATGCTGTCCAAGGCATCTTCCTGGGGACAGTAGCCGATGTTGACTCCTTTGTTTCTACACTCCATGATGTCCACCATTTGCCTGTGGGGGGAAAGAGAGCAGAAAGGCAGAAGAGGTTGTCTTAAATGTGGTTTATCATACTTTGGAGTTGGACAGATGGACATGTTTAGAGCACATAACATGTCTGGAAATGTGGAAATATTCTCTATGCAGTACATCTTCACCAAAGAGAATTATTAAGACTTTTTTGCAGTAAATGTTTCTCAGTGACCCAGGGAGCAGCTTGGATGTAAAACAGAAATATGTAGCGTCATAATTATTACAGCTGGTTTTCTATCAGTGATTTCCATGTGAGGTCATGTACAGTGAAAGGTGGGGGGGGGGCTCCATCCCTTATTTGATTCAGGGTCTACTTCTGCAGAGTTTTACTCACAGGCTGTAGGAGAAGAGTGAGAGGGTGGGGCAGAGGTTTGCCTCCTTACATCCATCTAATAGTGAATGATGTGTGTAGTGGGCTAAAATAAGTCACACTACAAAACAGGACCAGTTTCATCTCATAACAGCAATAAGCAAAAAGGGGGAAAAATGCAAATAAAAAATGCTTATTTAATATGTTGTATATTCTTATTTTTTTTGGATATGACTTCTTAGGTTTTTAATCGTAGCAACGACGACCGCTGCGTTTATGGGAGAGCTTCAAATAACAGAGACAGGTTCCAGCTGTGACTCAGTGAATTCCCAACCACTATGTAAAAATTCTGTCAGATTCAAAACATTAACATTCCTCCTTTGTTGAAATTTATGTTGCGCAAATGTAACTGAGTTCAAATTCATGAGGCAGCTCAGATTGGACACCTGCACAGATTACAATTTAGCAAAAGGATTTCTCCTGGTTTTTTTGCCTCTCAATTTTGTCTGGTAACTTTCTCTACTACAACCATGGCATCAGTAAAATCATGTGTGTAATGTTTCGGGCGGGGGTCAACTGTATTTGTCAGGGGGTCAGAGTTTTGCTGGACAGACTTCTCTGTGGTCGGACACTCAAATAAAATGAAATAAAGATCACATTTTTGTCCAACATTAATATTTGGTGTTTACTTTAGAAAAAAAACAAAATGCTTCAGACTTAATGTCTTTATTTAATTAGGCGACCATGAATGGTAATGGATCTCTATTTTTTTTTCTCCAGTTTACAAGTTGAAGTTTAACCTCCAAACTCCAAGACAGATTCTCATGTTACACATGCATGTCACGTGAACGATTAAATAGAAACCAAGGTCATCTCACCCGTCCCATTCTCTGATCTGAGCAGTACCGTCAGTGGGGCTGATGTCACCAGTCAGCATCTTGAAGGTTGTTGTTTTTCCTGCTCCGTTCACACCCAGCAGCCCAAAGCACTGTAATCATCAATGACGTCTTAGTAACGCTTTAAGCTACAGGTATAACACGGTGACATAAATAATCATCAATATTAAAGTCATGGTTTTTATGAAACATCTACATCAACAACTACATAATATTGATGACCCAACAGCTAAAAGAGGAGCAGATGAATTCATACGAAGCCTTCTCTTCTGTCAGGCTGCTACATCTCTCTCAGTCCAGACTACTGCTCCTCAAACTCACCTCTCCTGCAGGGATGCCCACAGAGAGCTTCTTCACAGCATGGACCTTCTTCTTAAGGTGTTGATAGACCTTCGTTAGCTCGTGGACTTGCAGTATGTCTGAACTGGCTGCTCCACTGGAGACCCGCACGTGCTCAGCTGCCACGTCTTCATCCATGTCCTCGCTGGCAACGTGTGGCACATTCTTTCTGGCACAAATCAAACGCCTGGAAAAAAAGGTTTAATAACAGAGGTCAAGGTGACAAGCAGTGAAAAAGGAAAAACCACAATTTTTTTACTAAAATATGCCCAGAAAAGTTCAAGTATGGCAGAGGCTCCCAAGACTGAACATGAATATGTGTTTTGTTTATTTTAGTACAATTTAAATTTCCAATCCTCTGCTTTAATAACTCAGTGTCTCCGCTGCATATTCAAGCTCTCATTAGCATATTTAAACTGCCAAGCTATTAGGCCGTGAACAACTGAAAGTTGAAAAGAAAAGTTTTAAATGCCATGACAGATGGATGAAAATAAAAATCCATTAAAAACAAGGCACATTTCTAGGCTGCAGGATTTGCCTATTAAAATACTAGATTTAAACAAAGTGAATTTTGCACATGTGGTCCCAATCACGTGATCACGAGGCCTGAGGCTGCGCCACATCTGTAGTAACATCACTAGTTTGGGCGTCTTTACCTGACTTTTTGAATGAGGTACTTGTTAAGGAGGAGGCGGAGGGTGAACAAGACCACGCCTTCGATGAAGGAGGCGAGGAACATCCAGCCAAGACCATCTCCAGAGAATGGGTTTTGATAGGCATCGACACCGTAGCCACTGAGCATCTGGACCTCGATGTTGGTCCGGGCCAGGTGCAGCAGGCCATTGCCGAAGCTAAACTGCGGGAAAATGAGGAAGGCATGGCAGAGTCTCTCGAACGTCTCCTTGACGAGCTGCGAAAGGACAGGAAAGGACAGAACAGAACAGGCAGAAATTAGAACAGATACTGTAACCCACAGTTTCCTCTCACTGGAAATATCATGTATCAAACCCAAAATGATCAGGGGCTATAGAAAAAAACACTGAACACTGCCTTTTTAACATCTCAGAGGTTCATCTGCTCCTTCAAAAACATTACAAGGACTTCTGATGCTGACCTCAGGGCTTTGCACTGAAATCTGGCTCAGAAAGTGGAGGATGGTTGTGGACATGATCGTGTTGATGCTGATGAAGAGGTTGATGCACACGTAGGTGATGAAGGCCACCTCGGCATTTCGGAAGACGCCCGATAACAGATACATCCAGGGGAAAGTGGCAAACCTGAGAAGAGAGGAAGAGGATACTTGATTGTTACATGGCATCAAATAAAAATAACACCACAGATTACAGTACTGTACAACCAGAAATAGACCCGCTATTGGTTTCGGATGTATAACACACACAAAGTGGAAGTAGGAGGATTTTTACCAGTGCCGCATTAATGCATCGCCTTGTGTATTTTTTTTACCCAAAGTGCTTTAGGCTTTTAGAAGTCTAAACACAGCAGCTGTGTGATAAAAATAGACTCTGAACAATAGTAAGAAAAAGAGGAGAAGAAAAACACCGCACTATGAGGAGGGTAAACATTCAGTCATGACGCCAAAGGAGAAGATAAATTACTGCTCTTCTTTTTTCCCCTGCTGGAAGGACACTGCTTTTCCTTATTTTTTCCCTTTCTGTCCTTTTTCCCTCACATAATTTGCTTGTTCATTTGATTGGGGGTGTCGGGGTCAGTGAGACACAGGGCTGGAGAAAAGGCAAGAAAGAGATTGAGAAAGTGAGGTTGGATTAGAAAGAGACAGACAGAAACACACAGAGCCAGACAAAGATAAAGTGTCTGTGTGCTGTGCCCACACCACTCTACCCCTCCGACAGCACTGCCCCCCCTCCACCCTTCCCCATCCTACCCCCCACTCACCCCCCAAAAAAAAGTGCTTAGTAGGCAGACTGTGAGTGCCAAGCCATGACAAGAAGCAGAATCAAGAAGGCTGTAGAGGAGGCCAGGTGGGTGCGTGCTGACAGATGGAGTGCTGTGATTACTCATTGCTTGGGAGAGAGACATCTGTCTGATAAATGAGGAGCAGAGTGATGACTTGGCCCCATAATGTCTAACGGCTCAGGACAAAGTCCACGACAGTGACAGTAAACACTGGAGCCTGAACCTCTGCCGCAGCTGGGAACGTATGTAAATCAAGCCATTGTTCCAGATGCTGGAATCATGACACATCATAGACCATAGATCTTTCTGAAATCGACAGTATATCTCAGCCTCGGTGTGAAATTTTATCTCTTTCTCACGACACAAGTTGAACCATAACTGCTACCAGTCCCGCTCCTTATTCACCCCCTCCTCATCCTCCCTCAGTCCTCCCCCAATGTACAGTATTTGGCTTGAATCGGATAAATATGTTGGCAGCGATTTTTCTCGCAATCTTTCAGTCCCACGACCATCTGTCTTTGCAAGACAAACAGCAGCTCCCTCATGTCCCCCTGCTGTAAATCCAATATGGCAAAACCCAAAGTACCACTTTCAGTCAAGGCCAGAGAGTTCTGTGAATGTTCATGTCACATACTTTTTGAAAAACATTTATAAACATTTTTTATATATAAATCTATATCTATAATGGTCTAAGACAAAACTAGTAGATCTGCTAAGGTCAGATGGCTAATAGACATAATTAATTTAAACTGTAGGATCCCATCCTGATGTGGAGATAGTTCCGGAATAATACCACCGTGTCCCAAATCCCAGGATGGATCCAGTGGAAAATTCTTCCAAATCACTATGTTGACTTAAATGTAAAAATGTACTTTATGCTAACTATACATTTGATAAGAATTGGAATTAGAGTTGTGAGTTACCTTACACACACACACACACACACATAGTATGTGCCCATTGCATTTAACCTAATTTTAGCAAAGGTAACACCATAGCAAAAACCACACATGGAGTGTACTATACGTTTTTCATACAATGTGTTAGCAAAGGTAACACCATTGCAAAAACCTCCATGTGTACTATACGTTTTTCATACAATGTGCCTCGGTCACCTGGACACTGACTGCAATGAAAGAATGTTTTTAAAATATGATTTACTTTGTTCACCTCAGATCAACTTCCCACCAATCTCTTTTCACTTAGGAAAGATATGAAGAGAAAACGCATTCATCCCCCGACAGTGTTATTGTTGCACAGAATAAAAAAACTGACGCGGTGCCTGTTTTCTTTGATTACAGACACAGTGAAAAAGACCAAAAAATACACACTTACTGTGTAAAATAAAATACAGCACTGCTTCAGAATCAGACACAAAACTGATGATTATCATCATTTGTTTGTGCTGTTTAGTGCTCTCTGCAGTCAGCACAAAGAGGAAAGAAGGGAGAAGGAGAGAGACGTGAGGATATTTATTCATCTTCTACTGCATAATACTATTCAGGGTCGCAATCCCAGCAGTTAACAGGCGAGGGGGTGGGGGAGTGGTACACCCATGACAGTCCACCAGTCCATTACAGGGCCACATATAGAGACAAACAACCGTTCACACTTACACTCACTACGGTCCATTAAGTATCTGCTTTACCTGATCTGCATTTTCTACCTACACACACACACACACACACACACACACACACACACACACACAGTTTACTTTAACAGATGAGAACAGCTTCTCCTTCAAGGGCTCGCTGTAAAGGCAAAAGTTCTCACCACTTTTTCCATCTTAGGGCCGGTGAAGAATGATGATGATACAAAAAAAACAATCGACCTTGGTTTTACCACACAGTAAGGCTGTGTGTACCACAAATGCATGGAAACACTTCAACATCATTAAAAATGCGAATCAATGCAGTAACAAACAGCAGGGGGCGATGTTTTCAGTGGACCACGTTGGTTGAATGTTTCATGACACACATGTCGCAAGCTTAAAGGCAGTGAAAATAAACAGCCAGTTCAGTGTGAATTAAACAAAAATTCCAACGTCCTTAATTTACTGACCCAAAGAGCACCAGCAGGAGGGCGACGGCTCCGAAATTCTGGCGTTCGGTGAAGGCTGACAGTTGGAAGGCAGCGATCACACAGATCGTCAAAGTGACCGGGATCAGATAGATGACCTGTAGAAGATGAAACGTAATGTTTAACCACAAAAGAAAGCCCTTTGTGAAACCATCTGCGCCCCTCAATGTCTATTCAAAGAATGACTCTAATGTGTTGACTGTAAATTAAACAAATGATTTAATGACTAAACTTGAGTCTCACATTTCATGTCTCAATCAGAACGGCTGTCAAAATTAACACAACAACAAACTTCTTTTAACACCACCATATTCTTGATTAGATGTGATTAGAAGATTAATGTTATTTATTCATAGTCATAGGCAACAGTGACAGGGAGAACACTGCTAATTATTTTCAATCGGTCATAGGCAACAGTGACAGGGAGAACAATTAAGTTCTCCTCCACTAGGTGGCAGCAAATGGCTATAAACTCCTCCACTAGGTGACAGCAAATGGCTATAAAGGCAGAAAAAGAAGAGTGCGTCTTATTTCTAATTCCTATATATTATCCAACGGTTGGATGAAGTTACCATGTCGTAGAAGAAGTTGACAATCCAGTAGACCGGCTCGCTGACGCCAGCGATGTGTTGGAGCATCTTGGCTCCGCTCTGGTGCTCGTTGACTTCATAGATGGCGAAACTGGCTGTGGTTATTGAGTAGCCGATCATCACACACATCGCAACGAGGATCTGAAGCATTCCCTGTACGCTGTGGGAAGACAGTACATCATTATCAGGGCCTCTGTGATTAGGAGCATTTTCATTTATCTTCATTAACTCAGATAAGACACAGCGTTGTGCTTCTTTTGCTGTAAGCCCTTTTTTCTGCACCGACTGTAGGAAAGACTACAGTGGTATAGGTGGACATCCTCCGATAACGAAGGGCAACAATCGATACTCTTTGGTGTGCTGATTCACACCGAATAAGGAAACCTGGAATCTTTTTTTTGTGCTTTTTTTTCAGTGAACAATGACCCATTTTATAGTCCTCCTACGATTCATATCATCGCCTGCGGGGGGACCGGAATCATTTCAATTATTAACAATAATAAACTGTATTCTATTAATAACCCATGACTCTCTCTGAAGAACTGCTTGTATCTCACCTCTAACAAGATAAAAGGCACCAAAACAAATGGCTTCACGTTGACAACAACTTCACGCTGCAGCGACTGTTTAGTCTGTCAGTGCTGAGCCTCTTCCTCAGCGCTACACCACAGACAACAAGCTCAGGCTTTGATCCCTCAGTTAAACCCAGCTGTGTTCATTTTAAGTCTCTTAATGTTGCTACCTGTTTGCCTCTCGGTTTCACTCTCTTTTATTCTGCCTGACATGCTTCTGTTGTGCTTTTACCATAATGTTATCTCTTTTAACCTGAGCACAAACCACAGATTAAATTTAGAAAAAAAAAACAAAACAGAGGGATAAGGGTGAACAAAAACATGAACAAAAAAATGAACCAACTGAACAGGGGTGGAAGACCAGACAGATAGACACATGGTGGTCATTTTAGGGCTGACTGGAGAGTCATCGTCATCATCAGCAGCAGCAGCAGCAGCAGCTGACACTATGAGCAGACTTGTTATCAGTATGGCAACTGACACTACTGAGCAGACTTGTTATCAGTATGGCAACAACAGTCTCACATTTTTTTTCCCCCACGGACACTGGCTGTGAAAAATCAAGACATTTAAAGTAATAAGCCTGCTGGATCTTTAACACAGCTCAGGCCAGATCAATACAGCCAGAGAGGATGCAGAGTCACACAGGGTGCAGGGGTAATTGCACCCTTGCAGCTGCAGCTGTACATTAGCAGGCTAAAAGCTGCAGGAAAAATGTGAAGTTAGAAAAAAATAAATGAAGAGGGTGTGGAGAAAGTAAAGACCAGTGGACGGCATAATGCACCAGTGAGATTATCAGTACTAACAAGACTCTGGAGAAGGAGGAGCTTCCCGAAGCCACAGCTACTTCTGGAGTAATTTATTTAGTCTGATGCATATGTGGATTTATACGACCGTAGACCAGCACTTATTCTGCAGGAGGAAATGTACAGCCGGTCGCAAAGTATTTCAAACAAACCCATTCTTTGAAACAGGGTATCCATCAATCCATCTTCAGGATAAACACTCATTATATTAAGGTTCTCAGCTCAAAGAAAATCCATTGAGAAAATCAAATATAGATGAATACTGATGTCCTGTGCTTTCCCTGTCTCTGTAAATACCCCAACTTTATTTCCGTAGACGATTCCCAACCATTGTGACATGGCATAAGTGCCATGAAGGATCTTCACTGTGTCTTTCTTCAATTCCTTTGAGTAAATCAGTGTTGTGTTCAACAAAACAGGCCCAGGTGTCACGCTGGATATTGACATTGTGAGTAAATTAAAACTAGAAGATAATTTTATTACATATACATGTTGGGACATTTATATTTGGTGGTTCACCATGGTAAACTATGTGCTGTGGGGTTTCAAAAATACTTGAATAATTTTCTGATTGTAATGATAGCAACTCTCTGTTCTGCAAGAGTGGAAGTCCTAATGCTGTTTATTAGTACCTAAAAAAAATTAAGTCTGTTCCTTACATTACTTCTTCATCATCAGCCCGACCAAAGTAAGGATGACTGGAAACTGAAATGGCTGTAAGAGAGGAAAAAAACAACAGAACATCAGAACATAATAGGGGAAAAATCAGCTTAGTCTGTTTTCGGCAAAGAAGTCAAATGAGCAATTATATTCCCTTTGGCTGGGACACAGACAGTGAGAAATATAGTGTGAGATGATTTAATTTGCCAGTGCACACAAAGGAAATTGAATTTTCTTTATCATTTTCCCAGGGTCTACTGGATGCTCACAGACACCAAGCCCACCACCACAGCCTCTCAGCGAACACACTTTCATCTCTGCTGGTACAGCACAAAAGCATCACGCAGCTGCAGACTCAGTGCATTAGGGAGGCAGTGCGATGGATACTCCCCCCCCAATCAGCAGTCCAAATACAACATTATTATTTACAGTTTAATCGGTTGAAAAAGAAACTGAAAACTTTCCCTCTTTTGAAAAAACAAACCTGGCGCACATTTATTTTTTTACTGAAAAAGTAATTACCTGTGAGAATTCTTTCTGAACTTTTATGCCAGGTGAAAAACTGTTATTTTTGTTTAAAGTAAGTATAACTGTCTATATTCATACCTTTTAAATTGTAACCACTCTGGAGTTACTGAATATTTTCAGTAGAGTGTAAGGCAGACTGACTGTCATTCCTGTGACATCAGCATCAAAACCGTGTGATGCAGACGTCTGCAGCATCACGACCCAGAGCTGATAACACAGACCACGATGTGGGCGATGGGGTTTGTTATTTGACATGGGACGGTTCATCTTGAAAAATAATCTCCCCAAAATCACTACTACTGATACCCTTTTAACATGGCGCAGTGTTTGCTGGATACATGGAAACGATAAGGCTCTGCCCTAAAGCATTTAATCATCATTTGGGAATTGAATTTGTTTTGCATGTGGCTCTGAGCATGCACTGTGTGTGTGTGTGTTTTTAGGTCTGCGTGTAGTCCTGCCCACAGGCAGATGGTCAGAGTGATTTTCAGAGCTGAAACAGCACTGGAAACGTGGGCCAGCCTCGTTCTCTTCTGCACAACTCCCCAAAGAGGAGTCTTCATCAGTATTCACAGAGTGATGAGGGTGTAAGGATACACAGCAGCCCCTGGTTTTACTCCACTGACATGAAGTGCGAGTAAACACATGGTTTATGGCTCTTCTTTATACTTAGTATAGAAAATGCACGGTGTGGCGCAGTAGAGCAGCTGCTGCAGCAGCCGGTTAACGCTGGTGTGAATCCTCTTTGCCATGAAATTCTGAAACTTTTAACTCATCTTACATCAGAGCGAGCTGGAATAACAAATATACTCTTCTTCTTTAAAACACTTACAAATGAATGAAAAGTACAGTTATATTTTAAGCCAGCAGAATGTGTTTAGTAACGATAACACACTTACAAATGAATGAAAACTATAGTTATATTTTAAGTACTACCACAAAACCCTTTTCCAGAAAATGTGCTTTACTTCATATAATTGCAATCCAAGATAAAATACGTGTGCAAGCTAAGCCAGCAGAATGTGTTTAGTAACGATATTTTCCTAAACTCTTCCAAGCTCATGTAGCTGTGACCATCAGAGTTGGTTTGTTCTGCAGTACCAACTGAATCAGACCTGGGCAAACTACGGACCAACTACTTTGTCAAAGACTGATGTCAATCACTTTGTTTCATGCATTACAACTAAACAAGCGTAATTCCTGTCAAGGCCACTAGACGGTGGCAGACATCAAACAATTTGTGTCAAATTATCTTCGAAGGTTTTGTTTTGTTCCTGTACATTTTATTCATGTGCAGACGTGAACTCACCATATTCCCGTGGGTCCTTGTTATCTGGAAGGTTGGAGCGAAGGATCAGGTTGTTGAGGGTGTTCATGTAAGCTGGCATGGTGTGGTGGCCCTCAGGGTTAAACCACACCTAGACCACAGAGAGCACAAGCACATTAAAGAAATGTATTATTTATTTTATTATTATAATTATTATATATTTAGTTATTGCAGCTTCCACCGTGTCGCTACAAAATGTGGCTGTGATCATGTGAAGAAAATTTTAAGGGCAAAACAGAATGTACAATTACTGAAGTAAAGCATGGTAATGATGACACTAGTCTGTGTAACTGCACAGCTCCATCCCCAATAATCTCTGGCGGAGACGAAAAACTTTGGTCAGAACGCAATATTTAACTTTTAACAGCTCATCAGTGAAGCTATTAAAGTGATAATGAGACAAGCAGCAGAGTCACAGGAGAGAATGTTACCTTAGACAGAGTTCTGTTTTTGGGCACTGGTAGCAGGTCCATTTGTAAGTCAGGAGGAAGCTGCATGCCAAACTCAAAGCCTCCATACCTAAAAAAAAAAAAAAAGGACAAACAAATTGGACACATATTGATCTAAACAAAGACTGTGGAATGTTGGTGATAAATTAGATGTGACACTTTGGGCTTTTAATCATTTGTCTTTTGATCAAATCAAATTTGCACGCAGATGAAATGCCCTTGGGGGCAAACCCGTCTGACCCCAAATTAAAAGTACGAAGAACAAAGCAAATTGCAAGAATTCCTCCTTTTCCATAATAACAAGCTAGAAAAGTTTAAAAAAAAAAAAAACTTAGATCAGTGGTTCTCAAAGGGAGGGTCAGGCCCCTCCATGGGGCCTGGAGTTTTCAAACTCAGTAAGGAAATACAATTTCAATATTTTGTGTGTTTCACACTGGCATAAAGGGACTGGTTTTATCATTTTAATGTTCTTTGTTTATTGTAGGTGTAGTAGTGTATTAACTAAAATAACCACCGTCCTGAATGGTGTTATTTGCATTTAACATATTATCTATTTTGGTATATCTTTTATATTCGTGCCTCATTTAAAACACTTCAATACCTCTGAGGTAGAGTTTTTATTGCCTTGTTTTAGAACGTTTACCAACTTTCCCAGAATTCTGTTGGCTAAATAAAAGGTACAGTCACCTGTTCCTGATGAAGTCATTGGCTGTGGACACCAGGTACTTCTCAACATTGACGCCACTCAGGTTAAAAACAACCTGCGATGAAGGAATCGTCTGATGTGGGGGTTTGTAGTTGTCTTTGCCACAGACCTGCAGCAGAAAAACAATATGTAGAAACACCCATGATACGTCAAATTATCTAAATGAATTCAAATGTCCATGAAGACATGTATCCACACAGCTTGTCCCTGGTTCCCGTCTCACCTGCTCCTCAGAGGTGCACTGACAGATGCTAAAGCCTTTGGAGCTGTTCCCATTGGAAGTCCATCCAGCCCTGGTTTCTGCGCAGAGCCTTTAAAGAGAAACATTGGTGATAAATAAACACCAGCATCATAACAAAATACTCTATATAAGGATTTTTTTTTTATTATTATTTAAATGTTCGGTGTCAGTTCAAACAATTTCAAGAAAACTTCTGGTGTAGAACACAGCACCAAGACGACGCCCACACAAACTACAGAATTAAGATGCAGTGTTATATTTCAGAACTTCTAATACAATACCACATGAATAAGTCTCAGATTTCTACTTTTAATGTAAATTAACTTGTGTTGTGAAGAAGCAGTCCTTTTATGCATTTTTTTGATGTTTTGAGGCATTTCCATAATTTTTTTGAGACTTACAGTTTAAAGCGATTCCACAGTATTTGTACAAAATTAAGCAATTTGAAGCCACGCACATCTTTGCATACGAACACACTTCAGGTACTTGATGTATAAATGGATCAATAACAACGACCTCTTGAAGAACCTGCCATAGGGAACAAAGAGTATTTTCCAATATTCCAGTCTCTTTTCAAGTTCTGGTGTGATGTGATTATAGGAGCATCACGGGCAAAGGCATGTGCACTCTTTTGCGCCACACCATTTCTGTTCTGGCAGAGAATTTTAAAATACCTCAGAGGGTAGGCTTGAGTGCCAACATTGATTTGAGTGCCTGTAAGGGGAAAATCTGCCCTACAAACACAGGCTGTTTATGGAATACCAATGACGCTGTAGCGTCGACCTGCTGCAGGCAGACAGAGCCACATGCATGGAGCAGGAAAACAGAGAGAAATGACATGAGATAAGGCAGAGACAGCGAGGGAGGCGGAGGGGGGGGGGGCAGAAAATATAGGGGGGCAGACTAGTAAAATGAAACGAGGTGAAGGAGGAGGCATGAAAAGAATGACAATGCATGAAAAATGAAAACAATGAATGTGTGGGAAAGGTTAGAATCCAGGGAAACTGAGTGCAGACACATAGTGTATGAGAAAAACACACTTCAGGAAAAAGAACCAGGAGAAGTGATTACGTACAACTCATCAGGCTTGTCCAAGCACGCGTTATCAATCCCAGGGAATGACATCATGGTGTCCGCCAGACGGCTGGAGGAGGGATTTTTGTTGCTGTGGAAGCAGAGAACAGTAAAGTTGAAAAGATTTTTTTTTTTTCCCAAGGCATAAAAGCAACAATATACTGTAGCACTAGCTGACAAAGATCAGTCCTGTTCCGCTTATTAAAGTCTTTCTGTTCAGCTTTCATAAAGACTTCTAGATTTCAAGGTTAGAATTTATGAGGGTTTTCACTCCCGGAGACTCAATTTACTGTCTCACAACACTGCCAATAACATGACCGTGGGGATGCTGTCAGTTTTTTACTACAGCACACGTTCTGTAAGAAAAACAGGCAGACAAAGGGAGTGTGGTCGCACATTTACATTTCAGACAATGCATTTTCTTTTGAAAACTGATATTTGTTTCGAAGGGATTATGATTGTTGGTTTTTTTTATTTTATGTTATTCATTTTAATAACAAAACAGATTTTTTTTCAAACTGATCTGTATTGCAAAAAGAACTTAAATGTGGCTTTGGTACAGTTTTTTTTAAATGGATTGCAAACTTAGTAAAAAAAAACTTTTTTTTCTTGGAACATATTCCCTTGATCAAACAAGCAGCTCCAGGAAGGAAGACGTCTCCTTTCCTCCTCCTCCTCAATCTCTCCGACTTTAATCTCAAACCTAACTTATCGTTAGAGTCTCATTCACGTCTCGCTGACATCAAGGACTGCCTGCCCTTCACCAAAGTACTGCTTCGAATTTATTCTGTAATAAATGAGAAATTCTTGCCTCTCCTCACACAAACAATGCAAAAATCTAACAGGCCAATAAGCAACAGCAATCCTGACAAGAACACAGACAGGAGTGTTGTATTCAGTGTCTGCCCTTTTTCTGCCCTTTTCAGGCCACCATATAATTTAGTAGTGGTAAATCAGTGAAATACTTTTTGTTTGTGACATAATTCAGCTTCACTTTTACAACAACAGGGTCTAGTTTTTTGTTTCACCCACACTTTCATTCATTAGCATTCTAATACTGAAGGATGGGCTAGTGATCAGCTGATTGCAGGTTTGACTTCCATGATTAGCAGGGCTGTTTTGTGTTGAGCATGCACCAGGGGGCAGTAAAGTGAAGCTAGTGTGTCTAGTAAGCAACTCAAAGAACTGTTTTTTTTTTTCCAGCTTGATGCTTGAACTGGACCAGGGCCGTGTGTGCAGATGTTTTACAAACATTTTTAAATTATCAAAACTTTCACAATTTTGTGTTTATCCTTAACTTGGAAAAAAAATCATAAAAACATAAAAACTCCCCCTCAGGCTAAGCAGTGCTTGAATGTCAGAAAACGACACAACAAATTCTCATCTTCCAAACTTTACTGCAAATAAGGTCAGTTATGTAAAAGATATTGCTCAAGCCCAACTTCCGACTGTGACCTTTACTTTATTTCCCATGTTTATCCATTAAAACTACAAGAACTTGGGAGCTTATTTGTGAAAGTTTCCAGAACAAGTTCTAACCACAGCTACTTTCTCACAGACCGAATGCACAAATATTCCGAAAAATAAAAACATAAAATCACTAAAGAAATGTGGACCGAAAAAAAATATTGCCTGGTTCTCATCTATACTAAGATATTTTTTATTTATTCAGGGAAAAACAGATCCAGTGAGTGGCGCTAATGCTGTGTTACTTTACTTTGGGTTAGCAGAATTGGATTTAATTATTTGAGCATGGGATGTGACAAACTAGACAAACAAAAATTGTTTGACCACGACAAAAAAAAAAATTTAAAACTTGCTGTTAGCTGTAGTTTGAAGTGTACAAAGATTGAACAGCTAAATCCTCCTCGTACCAGTGCTCAGTGACTGACTGCTGCACCTAAATGTATAACTTGTAAATTTTATTCTACCCAAGAGTTTTCACACATTGCTGTAACCTCGAGGAATGAAAACTAGAGAAAGTAGACTAAGATAAATAAAATGTCTTCTCCTTTCATCAGAACCAACCTGAAGAATGAGTAACTTGGTCCAATGTTGTAAAGTGCCGGGCTCAGCTCCATCTCTGGATAGTGCCACAGGTCATTCTTGATAGAGCCCAGGCCCATAGCAAACACCACAAACACGACCGGAAGCAAGACCTGTGAGATGAGGCCTTTCCAGTCTCTGCGACTGTGGTGGAACCTCTTGATGAGTATGGCCACCACCTGCTGCCAGAGCAGGGCAATGCCGGACAATGAAGATGAACTGTGGAGCTCTGAAATACAGAGAGACAAGAAGGAAAAAACAAAACAGTTTCAGCCATTTATTACTAATCCATTTATTTTTGACAACATGATTCTTCATCATACCTTACCAGATCAGCAGTTACAAAAATAGAAATACAAACAAAATAAAGAAAGGAAGTTGAACTCACTGATGTTGTCCCCGTAACCATCACTCTGGTCTGAGGAAAAACTATCCAAAGATCCCGTGTCAGAAATGGTTTCTGAGATGGACAGAGGAGTATTCTCGTCGTCGAGGTGTTCTCGAGTCAGTTGAAGGAAGACCTACGATGAAAGAACACAATGTCACCGTCACACAGCTTAGACAAACAGCATATAGCATCATATTTCTTCCTTTGATATTTTTTTCTTCTTGTGACACTCTGAGACTTCTCATGTGAAGATACCTCCTCCAGGGTTGTGTCACTGATGCCGTAGCCTCCGAGCTGCAGGCCGTCCAGGTTAGAGTCCAGCGCAGTCAGGAGGGAGCGGTAGGAGGAGGCGTTGGATGAGTTGAAAGGGGGCAGTGAGTAGACCAAGTCGCCTCCTTGGGCCTCCTTCAGCCGCGCTTCAGGTACATGGGCCTGAATGAACTCCTTGATGTCGGAACTGTCAACTTTTTTAGACTCAGAGTTCTTCATCTGTGGCTAGAGAAAAAAACCAAGATGATTGTTGAGTCTTTTTAAAATGAAGTGGATCTGGCAAAAAGCTTCCCTCACTAATTACTAAGTTACATTTAATTTTTTTCAAATATTTCAGTTTTCATATCAGGTTTCCTGTTAGCACACACACCTTCTTGAATTTTTTTTCAAATATTTCAGTTTTGCTGATCAAAGGCCCATCAATAGGACAAAGTTTCCTGTTAGCACACACACCTTCTTGGTGAGAGTGAGTTTGTAGCCCTGACCCAGCTTGTCTTTCAGGTAGACAGGAGATCCGCAGCTTTTCAATCCTCCTTTCTCCAGGAAGGCAATGCAGTCGCTCAGCACCTCAGCCTCATCCAGATGGTGGGTGGACATGATGATGGTGCGGTCTGAGAAGACAAAGATGGACACACGTCTGCCATTTGAGAATTTGTGATATTTTACATTGTTCAGAACAGAACATCGAAAAAAAATCCCTAAAAATTAAGTCTCGGATGTTCAAGATGCAATTTGATATTGAAAAATTATATGAATCAATTAGAAGAAGATCAAAGCTATCAGTATTTCGTTGTGAGACATCAGAAGGTACTCTTTGATGGCAGCACGGCATCAGAGCAGGAAATCCTGGCTGTTTAATATTAAATCTATCAACCAGAAAAAACAAGTGCAAACAAATACATACAGCAACCAAGACTTAGAGTAAGTTAGATTTGTTAAGTATAAGAGGAGAAGATACAGGGAGAATAAAAGTGGGCCAAGCACTGAGCCTTTAGGGACTAATGATGAAATAAAAAGAGAGTTTTGATTTTTTTCCCCCCCACAATCTGTAAGAGTATTGGTAACAGAGCTAAGGGTTCGGTGAACTTGAATTAATATCTTTAAGTGTTTTTATTATGTCTGTGTGTGTGTGTGTGTGTCTCACAGCGATCTCCCCTGACTCCTTGGAACTAATGAGGCAGAACCGTATTTTTTGAGACTCCATCTAAGTGTGGAATAAGAAGTGAACTGTGCTTATTGTTATTGTTTAATATCTGTTTGTGATTAGGGATTAAAGTCAATAAAAGAAGGAGATCAAATACAGAGGCCTAAAAGAAGTGTCTGCACAAAACCAGTGTGTGTGTCTGCATCTGTTCTTGTGTGTGTGTCTGTGTGTGAGAGGGAGGTCTGCATCTGTTCGTGTGTGTGTCTGTGTGTGAGAGGGAGAGACAGAGAGAGAGAGAGAGAAAGAGAGTTTGCTTCCATAAATTCTTATGCTGGATAACAATGTCCCAGATGCTGCGCCTGGAGCAAGGATCAACACCTGTGGTGGGTTCATCTAGAACTACCAAGCGAGAGCCTCCGATGAAGGCGATGGAGATTGACAGTTTGCGCTTCATACCACCCGACAGGGTGCCCACCCGCTTGTGTCTGTGAGCATACATGCCTGTCTCCTCCAGGATCCTGAGAGGGAAATCAATGAAGGTGTGTGAGACACAAACTCACGTTAACACAACAGTGTTCTTTTCTTTTCATTTGAGCAGGATTCAAAACTACAGCTGAGTGATTTCATCAGTAAGACAGAAACAAGGGAACCAGAGAGAGGTTGAGGTTTTTGTCTTCAGGTTTAGCCTTATTGGTGCTACTTTTGTCATGAGAAAATCAGAATCCAGAAATAGACTCATGACGCAACCGAGGTTTTCAGTCTGCAGCTTAATGATGCTTCAGAATGAAAAATGATTTTTTTTTTTTTGCTTCCATAAATGTATCCAGTACGATGCAAAGGAGCAAAAAGAGATAAAAGTAATTTTCTGGTGGGAAATAGTGGGCTTGAATTATTACACAGCTCTTGAGAGACTAAAGTGAATAATTACCCATTTTTAACATGAGGAATAATTTTGGCACCAAAGCCGTGGGATACTGTCCTTATAAATTATAGCAAGTACAGGGGGTAAAATCTGGTGCTGACCATGTCTGAAGATTACAATTTTTAGATTTCCCTTGGGTAAATCCTTCGCTTGCTGAGTTTGAGGACTGACTAATGTTCACTGTTAAACTTAAACGGCCTTAAGCTATATTTTGTTTTTATTGGAGGAACATGACATCTATTGGCCTTAGGAAAACCATTTATTTGATGTCAGGGTGCAAATCAGCAGCGACAGATAGGATGGCACCACGACATCATACTCCTGATATCATCCTAAACTCCCAGGGATAAAACTGAGCTTATACTACTGCATGAGAACACGGATGGCTCACGCTCGGACTTGTTCACGCAGCACTCCTTGTGACCACTGTGGGGCCTTGATCTGGCCGTACAGCAGCAGGTGCTCTTTGGCAGTCATGTGGTCGAAGAGGACGTCGTACTGCATGCAGACACCCATTTCTTTGCGGATGTCATCGATGTTGTTCTGCATGTCTCTGCCATAAACATCAATCGAGCCGGACGACGGGGCGTAAAGGCCGGTCAGGAGAGACCTTAACATATTCACAGGGAGCAGCGTTAATTGTACAGGTGCCATAAAAAAAACCAACTTTTATCAAATTTAAACAAATTATTTCCATTGTGATATGTTATGCTATGATTCAGCTACTGGATTGTTTCAAACTGCAAAAATGAAAAACAAGTGATCTTGCTTTTAGCAGCAGAACCTTGACATAAACAAAGTTCCTACACCGTCCATGAACGGGAATCACTTAATCACAGTGTTCAAAGATGTGATGAAACTGTGTCAAAAAGTGGGAAATATCATGCCACACGTACATGGTGGTGGTTTTGCCAGCTCCGTTGTGGCCGAGCAGTGACGTGACATGGCCCTCGCGGAAGGAAATGTTGAGATCTTGAACGGCTGCTCTGTCACCGTAGATCTTGCTCAGACCACGAACAACAACACCCACTGGGAGCTCTGTGAATTCTTCACTGGCCTGGAATGAAAGTGTGTTTTGGCCTGAGAAAGACAGGGAGACACAGGCAGTTTGTAAATCAAACCAAGAGAGGACAGGTATTAAAAGAAGAGCAAAGAAACAATATAAACAAGGACTTGGGTTTAGAAAAAAAAACAAACAATGATGACACACCGTGAAATGTAAGACATTTTGTTCTCCCACCAAATACAACACCACAGGCGACATGGCAATATTGCCATGTCACTTTTCCTGCAATGGCATGTCTACCTTTTTCCTTGTCATTGGAGAACACGGGCTGGTTTTTCTGCAGGATGTTGGTGAAGAAGAGTCCTTTGCTTTTTTTAGTCTTTGGCTTAATGCAGCACAGGTCAGCCCAGAAGGAGGATTTGAAGGGGAAGTACCATGGATATGGAATGCCATACTTTCCTAACACAAGAGAAAAAAATGTGTTCAATCTCTTTTTTTCACATGTTGAGCAGAGGAAAGGACATATATAAGTTTATATATATAACCCAACACAAAGTGTTCAGCCGACTTGTTTAGCTGGATCCCTGGTTTAAAATTGTTTGGCGGAAAAAACATCTAAAGAATGATGATGATTTTGAATAGAAGTGCTTCAGGTTTACCTGGGAAGACCATGCGTACGTAAGCACCGATGATGAAGTAGAGTATGGAGTCGATGAGTATCAGCCAGCACAGCCAACCAAAGGAGCATGTGTCACCAGCAATGGGTGATGTATAGGAGTTGCTCCAGTGAATTCCTGATGCACATAGAAGATATTCACATGTATTTCTGGTTACTCCTCCTGTTTGTTTGATGGCAGTCAAAGCCCTGCCTGCACTTACCTTCTCCTTGGGACTCGTATCGGGAAACATATTGACTGGCATAGCTGAAGCAGGTGGGAGAAAACAAGCTCTGGAAAAAAGAAGAGAAAAATTAGAGAAATAAAGAAAAGTGGTAGATGAAAAAAACATCTTCTTTGTGGAAATTGTACTCAAATTTACACTTGACATCTCCATGAAGTGGACTATTTCAAAAGCATTTTCTTTGACATCTTAGGAGGAATTTTGTTCAAAGAGAAAACTTCTGTGCTCAGATGCTACACTGAAGGGTAAATAACATCCAAGCCTGACAGAGAAAAACAAGTGAAGCTAAAATCCACATTCTGATAACATGAAGTGACATTTATGAGACTGTGGATGTAAAACTGAATCAGGTAAATTGTTTTCTTGAGGCAGATTAAACACATGTTGGAAAACTGTAAAAACTGTACAGGCAAAAGCACAAAGAAATGTGATTTGATTTCTAAATGTTCTTATTCATTCTTTGTATACACTTTAAGATGTCAGCGTCTTTCACAGCATGTTACACTGTCCATTACGCTGTTATGACACATTAATTAAAGCACAAATGCAACAGTATAAGCTACTCAAAGAACACTGTGACTCAGGCCAAATAAAGGTTCACCACAAAAAAGCTGCCAATCTGAAGTATGTGAGAAGCTGAGCTCACAAACTTATTACAACACAAGCCAACCTTATTGTAAAGGGACTTTGTGACACGTTTATGTATTATTTATTATCTGATACAACAGTTCCCAGAGTAGTGGATTACAGAATAGGTTATTTCTTAAAATAACTAAGTCCTAAAGTTTTTTTCCTTCTTTATGAATAAAATTTATAAAAACAAACAAATAATTACTAGATAAACAGATAAATCCTGCAAGGATTATGTGGTATATGATGGATGAATAGATTAAAAGAGAGCTTAGTAACCTAAATGGTTTTTGACTCATACTAAACATAGAGAACAACAATATTACTGCCCCTCAAGGAACTGTGGTAACAACAACAACAGCATTACTTGTGCTGATTCTGTCAGCAACACTGGCCAATAGGAATGATGAAGAAGGTCAAACGGTTACTCACCACAAAACTCTTCAGGGAAAAGCTGAGATTTGCCTCCAGGGCCATGACTATGATGAAAGGGAAGAAGCAGAGGATGTAGACCAGGCTGCCACTCAAGCCGGCGATGTAGGTCTTGTCGAAGAAGGAGCTGACCAGGTAGCTGAAGGCAATGACGCTCAAGCCGTAGTCACAGAAATACAGGAACAGGAGGAAGCCGTCGCTGTTGGGCAGGATTTTGCCGTATGTCATCACCAGGGTGAGGACGATGATGGTCAACACCAGGTATGCAGCACACTCTATGAACCAGGCAAAGAAGTGGCTGATGGGGTTGACTCCCATCATCTTCATGTACTGTGGGACAAGAAAGGAAACAAAGTTGGGTGGACACAAGTACTCCATCCAAATACTTGTACTATTTCATATACTGCATAGGAAGTCTAATTGTCTTACTGTAGTTGGTTTAAGTTGACAATCATTTGACAATAAGAACTAATGGAGTAAGACTTACTGTAAGATTCAATCTGTTCTGATTTTAGCAATTTAACAAAAAGGCACCATAAGGGTAAACACACGCTCAGATGTTTTTATATGCTGCATTTCATTTGAACTTAATTTGTATTCATGAACAAGAAAGAATACAGTTGATTAAAATTGTGTGTGGTGTTTTTAATAATAATTTTAATTAGTTGAAAAAATATTTTATCAGGGGACCCCATTTGAATTCTCGACGGCCCCACATGGTTCTTACAATCCCAAGGATGAAAAACTGGTCGAATGTAATGACAGAACAATTTTTTCTTGAAATATTAACTGAATCCTAATATGAAAATGCATCATTAATGGTACTCGCCGAGTACACAAATATAAATACTTGTATCCCTTTTTGGTTTGTAAATTGATATTAGGAAACACCAGTGGGAAATCCACTGAGGCCAGAGGAAAAGCAGGGTTCATACCTCGTGTAATCTCAGTTCTCTCTCATGCACAAGTTTCTTCACAAAGTCAGCCACAAACAGAACCCAGGCTAACATCAGCATGAATGGGAAGACAAACGTGATGGCCTCCAGGTATCTGGGGAATACAGAAATGCCAAGAATTTGTCAAATGCATAGAAAAGCAACAGTCAATCTCTGTCAAAAACCAAAGACGAAAAAACCCCATCATTCTTCGTCTGGTAAATAGACAGATGCAGAGTGGAGGAGTAAAACAGAGAGATAGGATAGAGGACGATGACAGCAACGTTCTGATCTTGTGGAATTATGCAGAGTAAATCCTTCTCTATTAGTTTCTGCCGATGATAAATGTGAATTCTCGGAATTTTTAACAACACACGTCCATATTTCACAGCTATCATATCGGATTGTGAGTTGAGTAATAAATCTGAAAAACAGAGAGGCGAGAGTGGTGATATCTAACGGTGGTTCACAGGGCAGACGTAGACAGTGGCCCACTGCAGCTTCTCAGATGAGATATCAACACTGTCTTGAGGTAAAGCCAGCATGAAAACAAGGCATAATAAGTTCCAACGTGATTTAGTGTACACAACATTATGTGTCACTGCAGTCAATTCCAAACCCTTGTTGCGTTGTTTATGAACGAGTGGATATCGAAGGCCCTGGAGAGTGTCTGCGTTTATAGTTGTACAGAAAAAGGCAAGGTGTTTCACATAGTGCAGAGTCAATTATCAAGTGAAATGTTCTTGTGTTCATTGTTTCCCAATGAGCACAAGAACACAAGTGGGAAACAAATAATGAAAGAGCACTTATTCCACATCACCTCCTGCTCAGGGATGCTGTGTATCTTTCACTTTATTACACTTTCATGCTCGTGTCCATTCACAAATTTACTGTGCATCTGTGTTTTGTATGTGTGTGTGTGTATTCAAGCCAGTGAGTTAAGGCAACTCACTCGTCACGGAGATGGCATGGGTAAGGGAAGGGCTGCAGCTGGACAGCTGGCTCTGTTACTTTCTCCCCAGCGTGAGTTTCAATGATCGCTCTGTCAATGTTTTCCTGCAGGTAAATGAATCCCCTGTTGTAGCGCATTGTCAGGCCGGCAAATATGTGTGGGTCTTTGATGAAGAAGGGCTCCCGGACTCTGTCTGTGCGCATGACGTTATCCATATGCATGCGGATTGTGTATTTGACTTTGGGAGGCAGGGCAGATGTGGATGAGGCGGCAGATGATCTGGTGTGGCGGTTCTTGGATGACTCTTCTTCTTGGGGAAGCTTGAAGATGACACCTTTAAAAACAAATGCACTTCATTTAGACACACTGAAACATTGGGATACGGGATAAAAGCACCATCTGTCCTGACTAGATCTCAACTACATCCTGTTGATCTTCGTGTTGTTGACTGTCACTTATTAGCACCGCAGACAGGTAAGGTAAGGCATAGAGTGAAATACACCGCAGCTTGTGACAAGCAAAGTCAAGGCATTTAGCACAAGATGGCAGCATTCAGATGCATGCATTTTGTCAGAATGTACAAAGTGTCTAAACACTCTATACAGTCTGCATTATATTATATTATATTATATTATATTATATTATATTATAATATAAATATAAAAAGAAATACTGTTTTTTTTTCTGTTACGTATGATCTGTGCATGCTGCTGGACCTATTATGCTAATTCTTCCTAAGTTTTAGGACATCCTGGTGTAAACACACACCTGCATTCAGTAGTCAATATAAATTGTGACATTGTGTCCACCTGTATTTTCATATTCGCACTACATTTTACACATTTTGTTAGTTAAAGAGATGGTTACACTGATAAACAGTAATTAAGAATGAAGACTGTGACGATGGAATGAATCAATACAGCAGCAGGGAGAGTTTACCACGAGTGTGGGTCACAAGATGAGTCTGGATGGACATTTTTCTGCCCATAAAAAGTTTGTTTAATGCTGGCTGATCACAGACACTAGGCAGCTTGTAAAAAAGATATTTAAAAGGTAGAAAGGAAATAAGAACCAGATCACAGGAAAACATTAATTTGGATGGTGAGGTGTCTGAAATCAGTGCCTAAAATGTTTAAATGGAGCTTTAAAGCTGTCAGTGTCTTTTATGGGCTGGTTGAGCTCTGGCTCTTATTACTGAAAACAAACTGAATAAAAAACTCAAATTTAATTCAGGAAAATAGAGGAATTACGTAATCTGCTAGAATAAATTTCAAGTTATCTTTACTTTGCTCCATATTAAAAATAAACATTTTAGACATCTCTTACTTAAAACCACAATGTTCACTCACTTGCATACAGACTGCGATTTTTCGCAAGATCCTGAGCTGCATCATTAAGCTCCTCTGCAGAGTTGTAGCCACGGTAACGGTCGAACTTGATACAGGAGGACAAGTCCACCATCAGATTGGACAAGGTGGTGATTTGTTTCAGCAAGTACTTGTTCTGTTCCAGCAATCCTGTCATGTTAGCTTCAGAAAAAAAAAGAAGAAATTATTCTTTCTGTTTGCCAACAAAAAGAAAAGTGCCATTGTATTCTATTTATAAAATATTTAAATGAAGCACTAATAAAAATGCAATGTAATTATGAACAAGGCCTCGATAGCCAAAACATGTTGAAATAGTGTTGCTTCAATGAGAAACAATCAAAAATATTGAAATGAGCACAGAAGTTTAACAGAAGAAAAAGTCTAATTTTCTAACAATGTGGCAATTTAAAGGAGGACTTAAAGGATCCCCACTTACAGAAGTTGCTGAGTGTGTCTTTCATTTTGTCAACATCAATGTCTGTCTGCATCTGGATGAAATTCTTTACAAAGGAGTTGCTGAGGGAACTCTGACAGGAGGAGAGACAGCAGGAGAGAGATAGAAGGGATGAAATGAAAAACAACATCAAGATTCACAGTTGCTGAGACACGAACGACCGCTGCACTGCATGTTTATCACTAGACTTTTGGATGACAGCTGCTGTGGTCAGACATGCAGAACACAACTCAACAATTGTCATACCTGCAGCATTGGCAATGTCTGGCCGAGGATTTCTGCAGAGTTTACGATGTAGTTGGAGGATTCGAGCCACTCTTCGGAGTTCTTCCTCAGATTTGCAAAATCGTGCAGGGTTGCATTTGACTTGAAAGGGAGAAGACAAGGGAAAAGATAATGTGGTAAGATTCAGGTAAAATAGTGTGTGCTACTAAAAAATAAAGTCAAACTGGGTTCAAATTCAACCGAGGAAGGAAAATGTGTCAGTGGTCAGTTGGGAAAGCCGGACACACTCGTAGCATGAAAAGCAAACAGTGTGAAGACCAGGGATCTGAAGGATTTGGAACATAAAGTTCATGGTCGTCTTGGAGTTACTAACAGACAAGCTGTTGTCAGTGAGAGACCTGACCTGAGAAGCTCAGGAACAGGAACAGTGACATCTATATACAGGGGCAGTTAAGAGGCAAAGCTTACATTCTGTAGCATATGTGGTGCTAATAATAATACAAAAGGTCAGTGTCAGACATGAGAACTGGTTACATTATACTTATAAAAATGACAATGACTTTAATAAGAGTGGGCTAAAAGGTGCACAGAAAAAAAACTGTAAAAAACCAACAGAAGTGTCAAACAGAAAAGAAGGTGTAGTGTATACCTTCTCCATTATGTCCCTGGTGAGGGGTGTATCAGGTGTGTACAGGATGTGTCCCATTAGCATGGGTTTGAGGAAGGCCCAGGCAATTGCGCCCCCTGTGGTGTTCACCATGTCCAGATACATGTTCATACAGAACGGTGCTGCACAAGAACAGAAGAGAGAGAAAAAAGTGTTGGAAAATAATTTAAAATTTTCATTTATAACAATGCTGTGACTGGATATAAAAAAGAAAATCTAGAAGAAAAAAAACCAAAACAAGTTATACACTCATTAACTTGACAACAGTGTCTACAGCCCTCAGCCTATATGCTGACTGACTCACTCATGTTTAATCTTTAAACAGTTTCAACAATACTTAATGTGAGAATAAATTCTTTTGCTAGTTTAGGTCTTTGGCAGCATAAGCCAATGGTAAGAAAGGTAAAACAAAGCCAGCCTTAGTCATCCATCTTAAGTACTTTGTGAATCCTTGAGCAAGCAAACTGAAAATGAACCTTTTTAAAGATTGATACACAACCTCTTTGTGCATTCTGCCCAGTTTCTTTTCATGTTTTTGGGAAATGAGGAGACAAAAACATCCATTCAGCGGATTCAAACGTTCACATACTGGCATTTCGTGGAATCTTGAACCTCTCAATCATCTCCTCCCTCTTTTGGTTACTGTGCACTGAGGGGTCGCTGTGTGATGCGGTGGTCAGTTTGGAGATTCCAAACAGAGCCAGGATGCCTTTGCTGCACAACGCTCTAGACAGAGTGACAAAGGTGGCATGGCTGGACATGCTGGACTTCATTCCTCTGGACATCTGGTAGAAAGACATTGTCATATCAGCATTCACTAATTTTCAAATGTGTAATCTGATAAGAACCCGCCCCAGTGGTGAGGAGCACGTACAAGGCTGAATTCGTCGCTGGCTCCCAGGTTGAGGTCATCGACAGACAGCAGGTAGGTCTGTAGCTGATTAATGGCAGGAATGATTTTGCTCATCATGTCTGTTATCATCTTGAGCATTTGAAGCATGGCTGCGACCAGGCTCTGGACTTCTTCAGACAACACCAACTGAAATTAAAAAAAGATAACATTTAAACACACACTATATGTATGATCTTTTTCTCTCTTTGGTTCACTCTGAGCTTTACAAACAGCAAGACATTTGTAACAATATAAATACTTATTTACTGGTAAAAAAGTGAAATCTAACAACAAGAGACTTACTCTGTACATGACTCTCTTCATGTTGACGTGTTGAGACATCAGCACTGTAAAGGTGTACCAATCTTGTGCACACATAGAGCAGAAGGTCTCAAAGATGACCACATCTGTAGGTTTCATGTCCATGAATGCTGTGGAATTGCACTGATGCAGGCTGACAAACCACGACAGGATCTGTGCAAAAAAGATTAGGGTAAAAAGGGCTAGCATTTGTAAATACAACTCTGCTGTGCATCAGTACTGTTTATCCTGGTTGTTGTTATGCAGGTACTGCAACTCATATTCCTGAAAATTTGGTTCTTATTGATACTCCTCTATGACCACAGGAGGGCACTACTTACAACTTAACACTGCTATTGTCCCACTGAAAAACTTTCAATCAAAAACATAACTTCTTAAGAGCATCACATGACGGGAGAGTTCTTTGGTGCTCTCTTAACACACCGCCATCCTGCCAGTGTCAGGAATTGAACCGACAATAACAAGGGCAATCTATGCCAATGAAAAAGGGGAATTGTATTGTATATCGGTCGGTAAATCTGGGAACATGATTTGTCGATACTACGAGGACTCTGGTTTGATGAGGGGTAGACGAGGATGCAGTGGACTCACCTCTAAATTTCTGTTTGGTAGAGTTGTGTTCATCAGCAGGTGCAGAGCAGCCAAATCAAAATTCATGTGTCGCTGCACATCCATAACGAAGGCAGTTTGATTTTTCAGCAACATGCCAACAGTCAATTCTCCTGTAAAAGTCACATTGATGAAATCATTCATTTAAACGTAATTTCAAACAAAATGTTTTTGCACTTGGTTTTTCACATTAACTGCAGAAATGTTTGTAGATAGACTTTTTTTTTAAACAAACAGAGGAATCAGAAACAAAAGGACAAAACAAACGACTGTTTTAGGAGACAAATCTGATCCACAGGTTAAATGAAATGAGCAGTGGGTTGTTATGGAAAAAGGGTGATATGCTTTGAAGTACCCTTTTTTAACATTCTCAAATCAAATGTGAACATGGCCTTAAAGTGACACCGTTTATATATAATGGTTGTCAGAATAACAAACTAAAATGCCACTTATTTTCCAGACGTCTGTATTTCGTGGCAGAAACATTAATTACTAAAACTTTAAAACACATCAAATCAATAAACAAGCGAGTGGATAAAATTATCAGCACCGACAACATATTCAAAACAGACTGCTTAAGCAGTATGGATATTTGCTTTGTTGGCTGTTGGTTCGTACCTCTCTATACAATATTCCAACCACATTAGTTGTACAACATTAGTATTACATTAACATTGCTCTTCAATAAAAAAATGTAATATTAAGTAATATTTCATAATATGATACTATTTTATAATATTATAATCATAATCTGTTTTTACTACTACTAAAAAAAACCCCAAATGGCCAGAAAGTGGGAAATGTGTAGTAAAAAAACCTAAATGGCCAGAAAGTGGGAAATGTGTAGTAAAGCTTGTAAAATAAAACATAATAAATGATAATAATAAAAAAAACTGTTTGGAAAAATACAATATGAATATTTAAAAAAATAAGAACAAAATATTCTTAAGTTGCTAATACTTTTTGTGCTGTAGTCAAACGTCTCACCTGGGGAAGTGACGTTAATGTTGAGAGAGTGTAGACCGCTGAAGTTAAAGCCCATGTTCTGCGTCAACACAGAGCTCCTACAAATCACACACAAAGGACAGGAACTATAAATCCATATTAATGTTTAAAAAATTTCAACAAAACCATGACTGGTTAAAAACAAGCAAATTTTTTTAACTCCCCTTAAATTGTAAACTAGATACTAGTATTGGAAAAATAAAAAAAATGAAATAGGTTTACATCAAAAAATATATATAATCAAATCCATTTAGTAAATAGTAATTGTAATACCAGTTGCCCTGGACACTGTAGGTTTTAGGATTGCCAATGAATGTCTGGAACATGGCCTCAGCCAGAGTTGACGAGTTTGTCACCAGAAGGTCGAGCAGCCCCTGCAGGCTGGGTAGGATGGTGTTACACAGTTGTCCAGGCTCAATGGAAAGGAACAGCAGTAACTGCTGCATCTGCTCTTTAGTTTCCAGGGTGCATATCTGCAACAAATGAGTTACAGGAACACCAACATTACATCTGTCCTCCTTTTTATCCATCATAAAGGTGTGAAATTGGCTGCGAGTAGTGACCTGTCTTCTCAGAAATTCGAGTTTCTCTTTGAATTCCGGGTCTGTTGGACTGATCTGGAAAAGCTCACCGATGGTTTGCAACGTGTCCTCCACAAAGAACAGGTTCTCTGTGAAAGGAGGGGAGAGGTTACTGGAAAAGACAGGAAGATGGAGTGGACAAGGGCAAGGAGGGCAACGAGGTCGGTGAGGTGACAGAAAAACACCACTGGGATAGTGGGCTTCATTATGACTCCTGCCAAGGGGCTGCCTTGACAGGTAGCATCCCGCACAATGTTTCTGTTAAAAACAAGATCTGCTAGCGAAGTGAGCTAGATGCAATAAATCCCATCTAAAATTGAATGCGATGCATTAAAATAAATTCAACAAAACTGAACATTTGTTGAATGGAAGGATGGTTTTACACATGCAGTTGAATCTGTGAGTGTGAAAACCGTGCAGAGAAATAAAGCAGATACTGCTTACAAAGGTATTCTATGCAGTAAAATTATCACACAAACACAGACGTCAATTAAAAGGAGGTCAAAGTTGCCCACTTCAGGGAGCGTTAGGGGAGGCGTTTAGCAGAGGCAGACAGCGTAAGTGATTGAATCCTACTTTGCTAATTAGATTTAAAAAGGTGCTGAGTGTCTTTTTACTGGAAAAGTGCCATGTGGCCCTGAGCTATTTGGGAACTCCAGCTAAGACGGTGTGAAGTCCTATTACTCATATCTCCACAGTGGGCCATGTCTTTCCTTAATCATGTTTACAGCAACAACAACAGAGGCATCAGGAACACATTTAATGGACTTCCCATGGTCTCACAGTAGCCACGAAGGTCAGAGGAACAGGGGGCGCCATTCAAGCTGTGTGACTGTGTGACCATACATTCATTAGGTGTCACAGCACTAATGTAAATATAAACTTTTATAAACCCTTTATTCTATAACAAAAACCTTAAGAATTTCTTTTAGATGTCAGGGTCATTATTTTCACCTTGGGTGGGGGGGGAGGTCCATGAATGAAGTACAATTATATTTTCTTTCAACATTGTCAGAGGAGGACAGCCACACTGAGTAATGGGAGCTCTGCGCTACAAAGGGCCGAAGAGGGCGGGACACTTCTTACCTTTTTGTCAGTTACTGGTCGTCAAAAACAAAATAATCTGGGTTTTTTTTTACCATAATACAGACATATAACACATCTGGACTCTAATGTCACCTTGAGTTTCATTGGCCAGAGCCCTGGTGATATTCTTGAGCAAGGAGGCGAGTGGGAAGTCATCCGGAATCCTTTCCACAGCATTCACCAGGAGATCCATTGATGACCTGAGGGAAATTACATTAAGTCTGTTAATTAAATAAGAGCCCACATGGGTTAATATCACGTTATACGGGTATTAAATATATAAAACAAGATCAAAAGGCTTGATTTTTCGATACTTTGGGAAAGGATTACATTATATTAAAAACAATACTCCAGCTACTCATATATTTGAAATGAATATTTTATAAAAGCAAAAACACCTACATTTCTAAAGCACCAGGCAGAGTTAGAAAAGAGAACACCCCCAGGGCTGCATCTATTGTTTCTTCTCTCGAGGTGTCCAAACCCCAGTGCATGGCACTGGATCCTTTCAGCACCACACTCAGATCAGGATTGGCAAAAAACATGTGGAGAGTCTCCATGACTTCTCCTGTGCTGGGTGGAGCAGAAAGGGCTTCGAACAGAGCAGGGTAGTCAATGTAGAACAGGTCTATGAAGTCATCAATGGGGCTGCTGGGTTGCATCACTGGGGCCTCACGTCTACGTCTGGGCCTCACGGTGTAGTTACTGCTGGCCCCTTCTGGCATATACATCCCGTAGTGGTGACCCATCGGTGGCAGAATGGCACCAGTACTCACCAGCTGTCTCAGCATTTCAATGATGTTTCCAGCGAGGTCTTCAAAGAGCTCTGAATCAGCTGGCATCGCTGCGCTCACCTTGTTCACGATAGACAAGGCACACCGGAGGATGTCATAAATCCTGGGGAGCGCCTGCATCAACAGGTCGACTCCAGAGGCTGGGGTGGAGGTCAACCACGTCGACAAGTCCAACACCTTCTTTATCAACAAGGTTGTTTCATTTGACATCAGAAGTTCCTCCATAGCTTGGTACACCATGGGATCTTCGCCGAAAACCTTCTGGTTAGTCAACTCTGTGACTATTTGTCTCAGCATGTCAGTGATGGAGCTCTCGTTGAGTTTGGAGAAGTTCCCCAACATCATTGACATCATGTCATGTGAGGTCATGTTGGCAGAGGTGAGGAAGATCATGGCAGTCTGTTTGAAGAAGTCCTCTGAGCTGTTGCCTTTGGCGAGGTGGGCGTTCTTGACCAAGTGGACCAGTACTTTCTCTACAGCATTCATGTAAGGATGGAGGAGCGGGGCCTCGTTAGCAAGCTGGGCTGAGAGCATGCTGATGGAGTTCAAGCTGTAGAGGATAGATTGTGTCAGGTTAGGTTAATTCTGCATTTAAAACACATTCATATGAAAAGTGTGAAGACCATACGGTTGTAGCATGCAGCTTATGGTTCACAATAAAATACGTATTACATAGTTTATTTGAGTACCTCAAAATTGGGTAATTTCCTTGTGCTAATAAATTATATTAAAACTTGAAGCGGTTGCTTGGTCATTCAGTTAAACAGCAATATAAATGGTTAGAAGTCTTCTCAATGACAATATAAACTGATTGGTTGAAAATCAAAACATTCTGCCTGTGTCAAATTACAGCTAGTTTTGTTGAGCAGATTTTTGATAAAGGGAAATTGCGACAATAATTGTCCACGTGTCTCAAATTACTTAAAAATGATCAAACATGTGGTCTATGCTAAATTCAAGTCCTTCAGGGTTCCCATGCATTACCAAAGGTCATAATTACATTTCTATTTTTTTTTTTTCAAAACGTGTACTGTCTTTTGGAATTGTTGTTTGCACATTTTGTAAGATAAGCAACTCATCATCAATAAAAAATCCAATAGGGTGACGTTTCTTCTGTTTCTTCAATCAAGTTTTATGATTTGGTCCTCGGAGTATAGTGAAGTCTTTCAACCGTGAGAAATGATCTATAATGTGTGTAGTCAGACCTGATTGATTTCCTGTATACACAGAATGTGATCATTATCACCGTGCCCCGCTCATTATTGCTGCTGGCGTATAAAGGGAAATCAATTTTAAAAGGATATCACACTTAGCTGAATCATGGTTAAGCCACTATCTGTGGAAGCTTTTCCTGTTTTCAGCCAGACCCGCATTAAATTAATCACACTGAATTGCAAATGTGGCCGGTCCACTTCCTTGTGCAAGTGTGTGAGTGAGAGAGAGAATCAAACTGACTTGACTGATTGTGAGTAACGTAGCCATAAATAGGGCAGTTTGCACCGTATAGAGATGAGCCTTTGTCCAAGAGGCTGTATAGACATGTTCTGTGATTACCTTGGAAATGCACAGAACATTTCCACAATCAGCTCTGGTAAAAAAAAAAAAAAATGACTGCACTTTGTTGTGTGCACAGTTGCACTCCAACTGTATATGCGTACACTGCATCACTCTGTCCTGCTATGGCAACAGTGCAGCCTGTTCTGACTTACCTAACAGCAACCTGTTTCCCTGAAAGAATATTCTTATAGAGATTGTGAATATTTTGCGATATAGACAGTCACCTTTGTTGTAACTGTGCCTCCTGGAGCTGTTTGTACCAGTGATGCTCTACTTCAGGGCTTACACGCTGCCCTGTCATCAAGAAGAGACCTTCGGACACAGTTCTGATGAGATTCTTTGTTCCCTGTGTTTGGCTAAGAGCGGCTTGGCACAGAGATTGTAAGGCCACCATGATTCTGGCCGCTGTGGCGTTCACAGTCGTTGGTTCCACACCCATGTGCTGTTCAAACAACATAAAAAAGAATTGAACTATTAGCGGCTGGCTTGCTTTCTCTATGTGCCAACACTGCCACCAAGTGGCATACTACTGTTATGACACTTAAGTAACACATTTTTAGGGGGAAAATTATATCAAATAGTGTACTAAATCAGAGAAAATTATATTAATAGATACTGTTTATTAGATATATATTTTTCGATTTCTCCATAATACTCACCGGAAGCTGGAGTTGAACACTCAGGAGTGCAGCGTAATTCTCTGCAACAGGCTGCAGTTCAACGTTGCACCACGCAGACATGGTTGCATTGCTCAGCCCGACTGCTATCCTTACTGGTTCCCATATCTGGAGAGCTTCACTGCAATCCAATGTGCCATTAGACTTGAATGAGGAGAAGACAAAAACAACAAGAAGAAACAATCATTGTGTTTCACTGGCATTGTTAAATGAAAACCAGTTCACAGCACTAGTTACAGAACAAAGTGCATGGGCAACAAAAGACGGCAACAAAAGACAACAGAAAACACAGGGGAAATATCATAATCTCTCCACTGTGGCAGTTTCAGAATGGAAAGAAAAGGGTAGGCGTCTCACACAGGTATCATCACCTCTCACACACGCACACACACAAAAACAACAACAAAACTGTGGCCAGATGAAACAGACACCATCGTTTTTTTCTCAGGTTCAAAATACCATCATTTTACTTTATAAAAAGAATCCATATGAAAAGAGTTAATTTAAAAAACATGATATTTTTTAGATTTTTTTTCATTACTGACATTGACCCACTAAATTATTTAATAGTGAATAGTAGTAGAGAAAAGTACATATCGCTGAAGATTGAATACTTCAACTTTCCAAGTTGTTTAACTACCCTGTATTAACTATGTAGTATCAACAAATCTTTTTATTTTTAACCACATTTGACATCTACCTGACCACCTACATGCTTAAAAAATATCAACAGAAAGTGACATGGCACATTCTATAAGAAAAATGAAATGCAGCTGTAAAGATAACAACAGCAATCTAACCTGCTGGACTGCCTGCATTGTTTGTTCTACAGAACGCTGAATGCCTTCCATGACCACTGATGCGTTCATGTGAGTGTTGTTCATAGCCTGTAAAACGTCATTCATCAAGGACGCCACAGCCAATTCTAGGCCTCGTGTCATCACTGAGAAGAGGAGAACAAAAGTGAATCAAGATGGGCGGACCAGACATGAAGATATAGTCAACATAGAATTCAACATGAACGATATGCATTCTAAAACTCATAAAATCTCGAAAAAAAAATATTATTATAAAAAACACTATTAACTATTACTATAAACTATTATAAAACGTAATTAAATGTATTCATACAACAGCATTAACACTTTTAAGTAGAGAATTACACTTTACTGACAACCAGCTATGGGCCGCGTATGGGTGATTCGTGGGCCATAAGTGGCCCAAGGGCCAGGAGTTTAAGACCGCTGGTGTAGTGTGTCCAATTAACCTTAGCTGTACCTCAGAAGAGTACCTCAGAAAACCAGTACTCAAGCACAGGGTAAACAAGCCAACTGCATAAAACGTTACCACCGGGGATTGAACCAGTGACCTTGCCATATAGAGACACCACTGTCAAAAGTCATTAAACTGTAGCCTTGTCTACTTTATTTTTAATTATAATATGTTTAAAAAAACATTCTGTATTGGTTCTGCTCTTAAACACTGTAACACTTTGTCAGTTTACTCACTCTTCGCAGCTTCCATGGAAATCACCATGTTTCCAATAGTTCTTTCGAAAAGCGGGACAGCAGATGAAATGTTGTGTAATAACGCGGTTCCGTTGATGGATGACAGCAGGGCCTCCAGCATCTCTTCCACTCTGTGATAAAATATGGGGTATTTGTCTAACTGCAGTTGAGCACTACAACTGTTTGGTCAAACAGTACACAGCATGTAACCCGGTAGAACCTACTTGTGCCACATGTCTTGTTCATCCTGTCCTTTCATCACCTGACTTATCAATGGAGAAAGCTGACCCATGAGTTTTAGCGACAGAACAACTGAGGGAGGAATCTCCGGGAACGCCGTCATTATCATGCTGACCACTTGGCTCATCTGACAACAAGTGAAAAAAAGGCATTAACAAGAGTTGAGTTTACCAAACATTACATTTTCAAACAATTCCAGTGATAGTCTAAAGGTCAAGCGAGGACTTGCAGCATGTACCCATAGACCTGATAGGACAAATGCAGGATCACACACTTTGTTTTCGCTCTGTCTGCGATCTCCAACGATACTACATTACAAAACCAGGGCGTGAACCGCATATTTCACTCTCATCAGAGATCATCAGCAATTTTTAAATCAACGTGATGTTGATGTTCATTTCTTGACAAGTGACCATAACCAACACAGAAGATCTTACCTGTCCGATAATCATGGGCACGTTCTCTGGAGATGCATTCTCAAAACTCAATGGACTCAAATATACTAAAAAAAGAAAGAAAAAGAATATATATATTATTCATACAGTGGTCACAAATTTCAAACTAAAAATATACACAGAGATGATGTTTTTGGTTTTTTTTGCATGTTTGCACAGTATGATATCCATCTCTCAGACTGTGCAGTGTCATTCCTGAAATAATCAGGATTCACCATCTCCACCTGTTGACAGCTGACTTGCCTTGGCCAGAGTTTAGGATGGACTCAGTGATGTTGATGGCCACAGAGATGTAGGCTTGGGCAGTGGAGTTCTGGGGCAGGAGACTCAGAAGGGTTCTCATCTCATTTAGAATCCTTCACAGAAAAACAAGGCCACATGAACGTGTTAAAAAAACAACAACATTTGGTTCAAGTTTAACTGTTACAGGTTGGTTTTTATATTTTTATTATGGTTTGGACAAAAAAACATTTTGTGGTTTAAGTTGATAAAAGCATGTTAATTTAACATTGGGGTCGCTGTTGAGAAACACCACTTGTGAAAAACAAAAAACTCTGAAGCAGGGGTTCACAAAGTTGGGGGCAGTCCTTTAAAGGTGTGAAGAAATATTGATAGGAGGACAAGGAAAATAAAGTCACTGTTTTTCTATTGCTGCCATAAGGAGTAACAGCAATACTCATAATCAAACATTAGGAGGGCTCAACATTAGTCCTATCTAAACTTGTAGCCTGAAATCTGTTCATTTACTGATACAATTTTTTTCTCAATAAAAAACAGGCAACTTACAATTGATTCAGGGTCTCTGGTCCACCGCTCACAGCGATGGTCTCAAAGTACGTAGCTACCAGTCTGACTACAGAAATCAGGTATGGGGCAACCTCTTGTGGAATGGTCTGGTAGATGAGACTCTCAGTTCTACTGAGGATGAGGAGGGTGGTGTTTAGTGATGAGGAGAAGGTCATGTTACGCTGGAAAATAAACCGCAGCGAACCGTGCACAATTTCCATGATGTTTTGGAGCACAGGAGGTGGCATGGGGATCAGGGTTTGTAGAGTTTGAATTGCCTCCATGATGTTAGCCAGAAAGTAGTCACTCTGGAAGTGCCCTGTTTCCTGTACCACCACAAGAGCCTTCTTCACAGATTGGACTATACTGCTGATTGCAGAAACGTAGACCAATTCCTGATCAGTGAAAAAATGTCTCATTGTCTGCAGCAGGTGTTCAGTGTCTGTCAGCGGAGATATTGCGTCATACGGGGGATTTCCCCACTGGAGCATGTTTGAAAGGAGCAAAGTGACGTTGGGGTGTTCCATCCAGTTTTGTAGGAGATCAAGGTAGTGCCTTATTTGGGACTCGACAGCATTTAGATGGGTGGTATTCAACATATGCTCTGAGCCTACAGTGTTGATATTCATTATGATGTTATCCATTAGGCTCTCGAGAATTTTAATAGCTGTCTGGCCAATTTTCCTGATGCCCTCTTCCTCTATTGGATAGCTGAGGCTTCGAATCAGGTGCTCAATTTGGTTCTGGACAAACAATGAGAAATTGGTCTGCGACAGTTGGAGTGCCACTTGCATTTGTGTCATGTACATTAATTGTGGGACCAAATCAGAGAGCGTGCTGTTGCTGGTAATGTTTTCCAACTTGTTCAAGTACCATTGCACAATTTGCAAGTAAGCCATTTGGGCCTGTGTGGGGTTCTGCATCGTGACATTGTTCAAATACATCAGTGGGTCTGTGCTGGCCATCAGCTGTACCACACGCTCAAGCACTTTGATCTCTTTCATGATCTCAGGCGTGTCCAGGTCGTTCTCCTGGAGGACCAACTTGATTTGCTGTAAAGAGCTGTTTAAGGTTTCTGAGACTTGAATGCTTGGATAAGAGCTGTAGTTTGTCTGCAGGACTTGTGTGAATGTCGTATTGATAATTTGTTGGGTGAGAGACAATATGGTCGCCTGACCTTGGAGATCAGGGATGGCTAACAGAAATTGGTAGAGACGAAACACCAATGTTTTAACACACTCGGCCGGTACTGTTTCATTGTGTTGTGGTTCAAAACATTGGTACAGATTGACAACAGACATCGTGTTTGCCAGCAGTTCTGCTATGTTAGCAACCCCAGCAAGGGCAGCAAAGTCATTTAGCTCCTCCAGAGTTAGGTTTGACTGTCTCAGAGCGTTCTCCACATCAGATACAGAAATATTCTGTGTGTTCATAAGTAATCTGATCAAATGAAGAATCTGTCTGGATGTTTTTACAGCAGCAGCATCTTTTCGTGCCAAGAGGAGTGAGAAGACGGTTGTTGAAAGTTCTTCGTATTCCTGTGCTTGGACAAGAGAATTGGGTGTGGCCACCGTCATGATGACTGTGCCATTGGCTGACAACATCATTTCCATAATTTGATCAATGAAGGTGAAGATTTCGGAGAATTTGGCAGAAATGTCGAATCCCGCAGGAATTTGGGCCATTTCCCTCTGCAGAGCTCTAAAGTACTGGAAAAAGCGAGCAGCATCTTCCTGGACCTCAGATGGAAGCAATGCTATAAATTTCTGGATGGTGACATTTTGAGCTTTTTCTGGCCCAGCCTGAGTCAGGTTTTGAAGGAACTCTGGCGTGAGGAGGCTGAAAAACTGCTTGGAAAGAAGGTGTAAGTCAGTGACTTGTTCTGCACTCAGCTGCCCACTTGGTAACGAAACTTGATTGATTTGTCGTAGTCTGTACATTGACATGATCAGTTCTTGAAGCTGGGTTACATATGATTTAATAATTTCAGTCGGGTCACCATTGGGGGAATCAATGACATTTTTCAGGAGCTCCATTGCACTGAGTATGGCCTCGATGACACCATTTGAAGTTTTGTTCGTAAAAGGCCGGATTAGTGAACTAAAATTGGCCACGCTCTCTGGATCGAAGTAGTTTGAATAGGTGAGCAGACTGTACCCCATGATATGTGGTATGGCTAAACTGAGGTTTCCCTCCATAGAGAGAAAGCGCATTATCAAGCGCTCAAGCTCAGGCAATGTTGGGTCTGTCTCATTGAAGTTTATCAAGTGCTGCCTTTGCCTTCCTAGTTTGGTGGCAGTATCAAGCACCGTGGAGAAATTGACAGGGGTTTCACTAAAGATCAGTGCTCCTATTGGTCCCAGGCCTGCCGAACTAAATAATCCACCAATGTGTAGAGCCAAGAAGTCTGGGTCAGAGATGGTGCTGTCAGGCTGCATGGCGATTACAGTTACAAACAACTCCAGATGACGCATCAAAGACGCCATATATCCAGATACTGCTGCGCCACCAATGTTGACTTTGTTAAGAAACGTTATGGCCCCGTTATTATAGATGTCACCATATGCATTTCGCAAGAAAAGCAAAGTTCCTTTGAGAACACTGTGAGAAAAAACAGAAGCAAAAAAAGCATGTTACCTTATAAATTGCCTGTATGATGTGCGTATATAAAATAAAATGTCCTTTCGTATAGTATGTCAATAAGCCCAAATTAGCCCAAAAAATTATTATTTTTGAAACATGATCACTTACTTGACCACAGAACCTTGAGTTGGAGTCTGAAATATGATTTCAAACATTGTATCCCAATTCAAACCAGTTTCGCAACGCAGCTCAAAGGTATGGTAATCAGCCGAACCTAAGAGGTTAATTATACAGTTTTATTTCAAACATACAGGTTAACATTTTATTATTTTTAATGTCTAATCTAAATATGTATCATTAAAAAACTTTTTTTTAACTTCTATTTATCTATTTTCTATTTACAGTACAGTCAGGACTTACAGTTTGCAGTAGTGTACATGCCAGATGGCCTGTAGTTTAAAATCCAGTATAGAGCATGGAAGTAGGGTTTTGCACTGGGCCAGAAGGAACTTCTCTCTATTACTTCTGCAGTCCCCTTCATAAGCATGAAGACACTATGAGCAGATAAAAAAAGTATACAATTTTTGACATTTCAAAAATCCCAGTTTTGGTCTGTATGAAAAGCTAAAATAATGTATTGGTCAAAGTATATGATACAGTGCAGGTCAGGAGGCCAAAAAGCAAGGCACTTTTTTGAAAGACCTTTGTAGAGCAGTCCCAGAAAGGTGATGTGTGTTGTTGACTGGCATCCAGTCCATCCAGTATGCTCCACCCAGAAAGCCAGCAAGTGTCTCGATAAACACTCCAAACTGCATGCTGCTGTTGCACAACTTGTGCCACTCTGAGAGAATCATGGGAAGCGTTACATTCAACTCTGCTTGACCTTTGAATGCTTCAACCAAGCCTTGTCCCTGTGGAAAGATCATAAGAATTACATTTTAAGAGGGAAACCTAAAACTGACTTACATTTGTCACTTCCCAATATTTCATACTAGGCCAAAAAGGTTCACAGAACATTTGTTTGACACGTTGGATGGAACATAAAATCATAAATTCAAAATATTTAACATAACACCACATTAAGATAGACCAAAGAATATTCTAGAGCAAGGCTGTCAAACTCGTTTTCACCAGGAGCCAAAACTTTAAAACTAGGAGCCAGTTGTGATTAGATGACTGGGCCATATCAACAATACGGTTGCCCTCTAGGAGCCAGTTGTGATTAGATGACTGTGTAGATGTAACTACTACATAATGTATTAATTAATGTCTCTGCAATTTATTATAGAGTACAAATATTGTACATTTCTCTGTGCCATTAAACAAAATCATGAAATACGTTGATGTAATTTATAATCAATACAAGCTCAGCAGCATGGACTTTAGACCACCGGCCTTGAGTTTGACACAGGTGCTCTGTATAATTTCAAAAAGATTAAACTTTTACCTTCACAATCAACGGCAACCATTGGTTCATAATCGCCTGTTCTGAAGCATAGCTATACTGGCAGAAAAGGTTTCTCCACATGTCGATATTTATGCTCTCTGTTGCAAAAATCCACTCGAAGGGACGCAGGACATCTTCACATGACGAGTACCCAGAGTTAGAAACCTAATAATTTAAACGGAGAAGAAAGCACCAGCCATTTGTTTACGCACTTTAGAAATGTTTCACATGGTATAGCATTGGCCTAATAAAAAGCAAAAACACAGAAATGTAAAATAAAACATTGTGAAATGTGAAAAAACACCTCCTCAATGGCTTCCACCACACTGTCAACGAGGCGGCCGGCATTCATGCTGGTTGCCGACTGGTTTGTCATCAGTGTCAGAAACGTCCATTTTAAGTTGATGGCGTCTTTGAGGGCATTGTCCATTATTTCTGTAAAGTAGGTTATTTATTATTTGTTGTTTTATACAGTAATGTTTCACAAATGTAGTGAAATAGATGAACTGAAAATGGGCGGTTGAAAGTTTTGACCAGTACAAAGAAATCAAGAGAAGAAATACACACTAAAATTCACTTTTGAATGAGGTAAAAAAAGAAATGTGTGTGTGTGTGTGTGAGTGAATGTATCCGATTCCTGGATGATTTAGCTTAGTCTTACTGTTATCCACACGGCTGGGAAAGGGTGTGTTCTAGTTTTAATAGCACTAGGTTACACAGGGGAATGTAAGGTGTACTGAATGTGGCAACACAAACAAAAAGAAAGTCATTCATATCATTAACATTTGTTCTGTCTTGTTTTTTTTCCGGGAGTGTGGTAGTGTTCAGATTTCCTCTCTGTGATTTTAGATTTTTCATTACATTATTATTTGCTTAGTTTATGTTAAAACATTTTATTTAAAAAAAAAGTATTTAAAATTTTTATTTAATTAGACAAAATGTTATTTATTGTCGAAAGGGAAAAGACAATCATAATTTGTAACACTCCTTTCGTGCAAGGGTGATTAATATGAATATATAGGAATATGAAGGGAATAGAAGGAGAATACATTAACTGGTGTACGTCTTAGAAACTGTAGATAAACTGTTAGTATTGGACTGGTTACAAATGAAAGGCAAGCGATTATTTAGATAATAAATAAATTAAAATTAATTTTTACTATTGTTATTTTTATTATTTAAAATGTGTGTGAAATAATAGCCGAACACAAGGTTTAAAGAAAATCACCTGTCACATTTTCAATGGCCTGAGTTCCTGTTGCCATGGAAAAGAAGGCGGTTTTGAGGATGTTCTGAAAAACTGAGTCCACCTCAGGCACAAGTTTGACAAGCTCCATCACCACATGGCCAACTGATAAAAACCTGAGTAAAGTAAGAAGAAAAAATAATCAATAATTATCAGACATCAGTAAAACATATTTTAAGCCAAAAAACATTTTTATAAGAAAATGTCACATCAGTAGTAGTGACAGGGCATCAAATAAACCAAACAAACATTCACACTCAAATGCCTATTTTTTCTGTGAAAGAAAAACTAATTTTCTTTTATCACAATATTTTTCTTTATTTTCTTTTGCACTGCATAAAGATTAGACAACATTGCACTTACAGATCCTCCTCTATATTTTGTGGCTCTACATCTGCGGCTCTACGTTTCCTGCTCAAGTTGGATTCTCCATAATCTCCAGAAAAACTTCCAATGAGACTGTGCACAAGTCCTTTGAAGAAGGCCACATCATGGGATGCAACGCGTTTACTCCACACCAGAAGAACCTGGGAACGGCAGGGATACCGCCAGAAAGACAAATAAAAGGATATAACGTGATTATAACGTGTGAAACGCAACAAAAAAACAGTGATCAATTTTCCAATTGTAAAGATAATTTTAAGACATATTCATAACTTTATTATAGAAATAGAAGAATCAGCAAGTGTGGGAGTGCAGGCCGTGATAAGACTGATCTTGTTAATCGGTGGCACAGAGTGAAATAAAATTATCTCTGCACCATTTGTAATATGACATGTGCACATCATTGCAAGCATCACCTTGCTAATTTATGTCCAGCTGCCATTTTAGGTTAGTACTCTGAGTAATGATGGTGTGAACTAACAGCATGTGATGAGGAATAATCCCATTAGAGCACTTCTACCACAGTGGCCTCGCTAATTGGTTATGCTTGAGGTTTCTGTTCCCCAGTGTATGGCCTGGGTACTGCAGTTGCCGGTTGCCACAGCCAACAGTTCTCTACCAAGCACAGCTCAAATCTAACTGCACGCCACATGGGAATGCAAATTACAGTGGAGGTCAGGCAGAAGAGAATAAGCAAACTGCACGGCAGTGATGTGCAAAGAGTCTGCTTCAGAGAAACAGAGAAAGAGGAAGATGACATTGGATTCCCAGTATCTATCAGGTTTCCTTTTAGTTAACACATGAGTTAAGTGTACCTGCTTTGCCAGTTTGTCAGGGCTGATCCAACTGAGCAGCGTGTCCAGAGTGCCGCTGCTACATGCCGCTGACACCAACATATCACTGCTGTTTCTACACAAGTGCGAGCGCACAATGTGTCTGTCCAGCATCAGCCCCATTGCCTTTAACAGAGAAGACACAGCAATGACAAACAACAAAGTAGTGGTGATTTTAATACTTGATGAAACATTCAAGCACAATGTCTCATAATTTGAATTCTTAAACTAAATGGTAACACCTTTCATCTTCTTTCCACCTCAACTGGTTGAGGCACATTTCATTAACTGCTTATTTTTCCAGTAAACTGGTGAGTATCACTCTTATCGGAAAGGCCACACCTTAACCTTGTGTGATCTTAAAATTTATTTTAGAGAACGACCAATGGTTTGCCAATTATATATTTTCAGGCAATATTTTCCCAATCTTGATTAAAAAGACTTAGGGTTAGTGATGCTGAAGCTAAAATCAGAGCAGGTGAAAGCAGTGCCAAAAAGACAGCGTACCTTGTGCAGTGGTATTTGGACATCTGGCAAAACAGAGAAGAACATTTGAGCTATTGAGCTGTTCTCAACAGTGATGATGTCCTGGAGGGAAACGGTCTCATCTAAATAGAATCAAAACACACGTTAACCATTAAACAAAAAAATTTGAGCAAAGAATGACATAGCTAACATTTTCCTCTGATTTTTGTTATATATAATCAAAACATTAGATCATTACTTTTGCCAGGCCAGTGGAGAAAATAACGGACCACGTTGATGCCACCAGCAAGAAGTGGATTCACACTGGACAGGTTCTGACCAGTTTCAGGGAAGTTTGTTTGGAAGAAATGTACAGCACTGAAGAGCAAATAAAAAACAAGCATGAAATACAAAAACAAAATTTAAAAAAAGTAACAATATATAACTTTTGAAATTATTTTTAACACAAGAAATGTACTATTTATTCTATTAGGTGCCTGGGCCCTAGATACACTAAACTTACACTAATCAGATCTATGCTCAGTTAATGTAAGATACATAACAAATTAAGCCGGTGGTGTCCACACTTTTTTTGGCTTCAGAGCTACTATTCAAATGTCCAGGCTAAAAGGACCTACCCACGTACTACACGTACAACGTTAAATATATGTTTATAGCTACAAACTGAATATACTTTATATATGAATTATATGTAATGGTACTGATAAAATGTATGTCACAAAACTATTTAATTCTTACAGTACATGGTCACAATTACGCACAATTATATGTACAAATTATATTTATAGTACATGTTTTTCTTGCTTATTATTTACCAGTGCTCCCTTTGCGATCTACTGTTAAATCACAATCTACTGAGCTATACTAAGCTAAGCTAAACTAATCTTCTTTGCAAGGCATCTTTAAGGACAATGCTTCACCCTTGTATGTTGCTGAGCAGAACCTCGGTGTTGAGCAGGGCCTGGTCCACAGAACCATTGTAAAAGAGCTGGGGCACCGTGAGAAGAGTTTCCCACAGGGTCGTCTCGTTCTGCAGGTGTTCAATCAGCATCAACGTTGCCCCCGCTGCTGTCACCATTTCATCTGGATTGGTCATCATCAGGCTTGACAGAACCTGACAACCACAGAACACACTAGGGTCAAACTGCACCGCAACACCACGGGAAATTGGACAGGTTTTTGACAGTTGGCAGCAAATTTACACATACAGTATGTCAGGTGTAAGTCAAAAAGCTGTAGATGTTATACTGTGAACATGTGTCTGAACAATTTGGTATAATTTGAATATATAATTTGAACAATATGAATAATTTTGTCTGTTAAACTGTTAGACTGAAAGAACTGTTGAAAGGAAGAGGTTATGACATGGTCACATATTGCAGAATTCTTTTGTTTTTAATTTGTCTTGAAATTTTTGACTTACTCTTTTTGGGACACATATACACACGTACCTGGTTAAGTACGTTAAGAGTGACCTCTAACGCAGTGCTGTTGGACTGGCAGAACATGACCAAAGAATGACTGACGGGATTAGGGGAGGTTAGGTTCATAAATGACAGCAGTGTTGTGCAGACAGCCTTTTTCAGGAAAGTCACTGATGTCAGCAGGCTGCTCAGGTTTCCCTGTGAACAATATGAATAACATGTAGTCAGAATCCCACAGTCAATAATCCAATAAACAACAACCACCTTTGTTATAATGACTGATTTGTAAAGCACTAAATTCCTTTTTTTTTTTCAAGACACAGAGCCCAGTTAGGCCACGGAATTACGACCTTCACACCTAACGGGAACTAGTTGCTAAATTACACAAACTTGAATTCAACTAGTTGCTAAATTACACAAACTTGACCTGGTGAGTAATATTCATACAGTATAGCAGTTCCTTTTTGTACGGTTGAGGAAGCTATGTGTTGAATGCACTTTTTGTTCCTTTTTGTGCGGTTGAGGAAGCTATGTGTTGAATGCAGTCAATCTCTTTGAGCCATTAAAGTTTTGGCAACAAACACAACTACGTGGTCATGTGTATGTGGGCATGTTTGTGTAAACAGCTCAGCACCTTCAGTTAGAGTTCTCTTTCTCTCTGAAGTACAAGCACATTCAAACACTTTTGAATGTATTTCATACCAGGTTTTTATTTTTCCTTTTCATCTGAGGAGTTGCTTCTCCTTTGGCGCACTGTTGGCCTTTTTTGATCACCTTTTGTTCACCTGTTTCCTGTGTTCCACACCCTTAAGTCACCTGCTCACATTTCTCTGCCCTCTGCTGTCAATAGTGTCATTGCGTAATTACAACTGTTACTATTTAATAATCCCTGACATTTATTGTTACTAATTTAATGTTGTTGACTTTCGTTCTGATGTGAATGGTTTGGTGAAGGCTCACTGACAATAAATAATATTATACTGTATTCTTTTCTAAACATCACACAAATGTTTCCTAAACATTTTTTTTCTTCCAAGTTATATTTGATATCTTTCATTATTTTAACAACTGAATTACACTGAACAGGTCAAGGAAATTTAAGTTAAGCCACGGAGACTTAATCATAAAAGTTGCATTTTGAAACAGTGAGGGTTGTTGTGCGGTTTTACCCTATCCACTCACCTGATCTCCCAGATAGGTGGTGTTTATCATAGAGACATTGTAGAGTATCCCGCCATCAGATGAACCTTAAAAAGAGGAATAAAAAATAAAAAAATAATAAAAAATTAAAAATAATAAAAAATAAATAAGTAAGGACATAAAATGAAAGGGCTTCGAATATGTTCCACATCATGTCTGATTGATGTCATAAAAAAATGAAGAATAAAGCCTTCTTTGGACATATTTTTTCTGCTTATGTCTTCAACTGCTTCAATGTCAAGAAGCAAGCTGCTTCAACTGCTTCAATGTCAAGAAGCAAAAAAAAAAGCTTCAAGTTCCCTCGGAGAGTCAGACACAACATACCCATGATGTTTTCCAGCATCTTAAGCAGGTCTTTGGGGTCATAGCCTAAGTCTTCAGTGAAATTAAGCGGGATGGCAGATCTCCCTTGAATCAAATCCGCCAGTGGAGAACTTCCTTGAGAGGAGGGTTGCCTGTCATAGAGAAACATACAAGAGGAAATATTATCTTACCCTGGTGCCTTTAAACTACTCTTACAGTAACGAGGGTGTATTTCAGATAATAGAAAATGTCGAGAGTTGCTTTCAAACCCTTGAATTCCTTGTCCTCAACAATAATAATCAGTCTACAGTCCCTCACAATCCATTTGGTAACTGTGTCCGTCAGCTTGTCAGATGTAGACTTATTTAATGCCCTGCACTCGATGATACAAGCAGGACGTCTCACCCAAAGAAAAAAGAAATGTGCAAAAAAGATTGTAGTGTGTGGTAGAGCAACAATGGAGCAACAAGTGGATAAGTGAACAGCGAAAATATTTGGATAAACAGCCCAAGTGTTAAAATCGTTGAAATTGTTTGACCTCATTAACTTCACAGTTTTCATCATTGTGGCTAATGTGTTAACTTTGAAAGCCCTATATTAAACAAAATTATGTCACACAGACGGTCTCCTCCGTCTCTCTGCTCTGCTGCATTTAACTGTTTTTTTGATGCGACAACAGTTTGGTGTGTGTGTGTGTGAAAGGACAAGGCGATTCATGCTTCTGTTCATCAGATTCTGTCTATTCATAATTGAAACACTCATGGAACAAAAGCCTTCTTGTGATCAAAAGATACGTAAGGTAGGTATGTCCAAACAAAAGGTGTGTCTTAAATTCAAAAGCTTAACTTTATGTATGTGGGCCAGAGACTGTCCTTCTGTATCAGGTGGAAGGTCTGACAAACAGGTTTTTCTATCCACCATTATCTGGGCTTACAGTTATGGAACATGTTCTTAAAGAACAAAACTTACAAAAAAAAAAGCATTTAGTTTTACCTCACCATCACATCATTTTTTTAAATGGATCAAAATACACGGCGGATGTACCAAACTCTCTGTGGCGTATGGCGAGGCAGACATGAAGGACACT